AGTCCAAGCTAAACAAGAATGTTGTATTTTCTCGAAATTTGATAGCGTATCCTCCTACCGGCTGATCGCGGCAGGTGTGTTTTGGTTGCATCCTGTGTACACCGAGATGAATAAAACACGCGTCGTCCGTATATTCGTTTGCGCGCACAGCCGACAAGAGAGAATCGAGATCACTCCCGTAACGCGAAATTCCGTGCGACAGGACCGGAGAGAAGCAAACTGGTCGACTATCGGTGCCGGAATAGTTGGAGCGCGATATCGGGTGAATAAAATATCAGCGGGTGCGTGTGCGCTGAACAAAGAGGGGAGGGGAGGATCGCGTGTCCTCCTGGTGTACACGAGCCAGGGCCATCTGGTCGGCCGGCTCGTGTCATGTTTTTCCCGCGAATCGTTTCGCATCTCTGCGCGACAATTAATGCGCGTGCTCCGAGCTCTCGTCCCTTTCTTTTCCTCATTGCCGCTCGGCCTCTGTCATCCCCGATAACCACGCTTTTGGCACGTGCTTCCCTGCGACACGTATCTCGCGGTATCGTCCTGTTCTTCCTCGTGGAATCAAAGGGACTTCACACTCGATGTTATCCTTTAGACCAGTGTTTCCTAAGGTAGAGCAATTTTGATACTTTCGGGGGAATTAGCAAAAATCAGTGACATTTATCACCTCATTGGCAACAGTTTCACATATGTGCCCTTTTCAACTTTTTGGGGACTTGATTTACTATTATTTGCTGCGTTGAGGTATGGACATAATACAAGGAAGGTTAGGAAACACTGCTTTAAGGTACATATCCGTTTGTTGCGTATCCTTGATTACGCAACGATGAATAAATGCCGCGGACGAATCATCGCGCGAGTCGAAGGGAAAAAGGGACGACAACGAACAGATCTGCCTATCCACTTCCGGCCCTCGTTCTCCCGGTTCACCTCGCCTCTTCGTTTCCCTTTTACCTCTCGATCTCGGGCGGTTCCTCCTACGGCGGCGCCTCTTCCCTCTTCCGACGTTAATTTAGACGAATTTCATTAGAACAAACGAACTTTGCTAATCCGCGCTAATCTGATTAGAAATTTGCCGTGGCGCGGTGCATTCTGCCGCGTGAAACTCCAGCCGGTCGACGGGAGCTTCGACGACGACGTCGCTGTCGGTGGGGCGTCCGTGGGATAGAATGAAAGAGAGAACGAGCCTGCTCGTCGACTAGCAACATTCGTCCTTGTCCTCGTCCTCGTCCCGTCGCGTTCACTCAAATCCCCGTGCACACATCCGTGCGCGCCTAGGCTGGCTGGTGTTCTCTTCTTCAATCTCTCTCTCCCTCTGTCTCTCTTTCTCTTCCGACGCCTACTCGTTTCGCCCACGCCTATATCCTTGCCCGGCAAATATTTGCAGGAATTAGCAACGATAGACGACTACCTCGTAAATTCTCCTCCTCGCCGGAAGGTTCACGGGATTTTCCAAGAGAACGCCCGGGAAGCCGTGAATTCGAAGCCTCGACCCCTCCCCTTCTTAATTAGGCTACTCGTTCTCACTCTAGTCCGCGTCTTCTCTGACTTTTGTTTATCGCGCAAACCGTCCCGGATTTAGGCTATATCCACGTCTTTCGACCCTCTGTCTTCGAACGACCCGTCCCCGTTATCGCGACCCCTTTCTCTCGAGCAGAGGAATCCGTGAACCGCTGAAAAATAACCCCGGCGTGTCTCTCGTACTCCCAGGATTACCCTCGCGACATTTTCAAGCGTTTCTTGCACGATGACGACGACGAGTTCGTGGAACTTTCGCTGGCGGAAACTTTCCGCCGGGGTTTTTCGCCGTGGCCGGCTTGCGGAAAAACGACAAGATTCGGAAACCGCTACTTAGCGGCGGGACACGCGGGCTGGGAGGCAAAGTTTCGCGGGACCATTTGTTACCGGTGCGAAACCATTTGTAACGTTTAAGGTTACCCGAACTCTTCTCGAGAAATGGTCTTCCATCCGGAGGACCTTCCGGGTGTCGAGGACTAATGGAAAACATGGAAGTTAATATCATTATCAGGTCAATGTCCCTATTTCTAATCATGTAAGAGTTCTGCTATCCCAGAAATTGATTTTTATTATTTATTTATGCAACAATTGCCAAAAGAAACTTATTAGATATAAAATCTAAACCTCCCTTGATAATTAAATGTAAACTATGATTAGAAATAGGGACATTGACCTTACGAATTCAATAGTTCTCTTTCCATTTTCCAAATTGGATTTCTGGAGAACGTTTCGATCGTAAAATTTAGAGATTCTATCATCCGCCTCCCTCCCCAAAATCGTGGAATCGACGTTTACCCCAGCTCGAATTGGTCGAACGATACGAAGTACCGCCCCACTTCGGGGGAGTCGAAAAGTTATACAAGGAGCAATTTTCTCCTTAATACTGCGGTCGAGTAAGTCGAGACGTGTCGCATCGCGTGCGTACCTCCGCGACGTGCATTCTACGCGGCGCAGCTCGCGACAGACAGACGAACGAACGGAGACACGAGATAATGAAAAATGCACGCATGACAGGATGCGGGCCGTGTGTGCGCACGATGAACTCCTGGTGTACCGATGGCAAACTCGATTTCCCTGTCGTGTGCGGTGCGTCGTCTCTCCGATGCACCGATGCACCACCGTTCCGTTCGTCCTGTGGTTTTCTCGAGACTCGTGACGCGTGCACGTTTCCTTCGTCGCGGAACCACTCGAAACGATAAGATGCGTAAATAATTTAGAACGCCATAATGCCGGCAACAGACCGATCAGTTGGCTTCTAGCACAGACGAGATATAGACCTAACATGCTATGTAATTTCCCATGATTCGGGGGGTCAGGAGGCCCCCGTACCATTTCAGTATTCCATTCGTAATAATGTTCCAGGGGGGGGGGGGCCCGTTATGAACCTTCCATTTCGTTATGATTAAATGTAATTACTTTTATTTAACATAAATTTCAATTTTACATTTATGTATTTTGTTGTGCTGTATTACAAAAAATCCCCGCTTTTGCAACCGAGAGGACCCCCGAAAATCTGATAACCCTGGGCCATAAAAACACTTGATCTGGACCTGGCTATATGCAGTCACAGGTGTGTGTAATCGTAAACTTTTATGTAGAAGTGTGCTCGAACCAGCGTGATTTTCGTAGGACACCAAGTCCCATAAGATGTTTGGTCTATTGTTATACCTCGTCTGTGCTTCTAGTCGATTTTCAAGGTAACCTCAGTTACCGCCGCGTATTGCTTATGTATAAAAGCTCTGCGTTCCTATATCGCTTCACCTAACTCTCTATCTCCATCGCGCAACTAATGTCTTCCACACGAACATACACACTTTTCCATCGAGCGGAGCACACACCATCCAATCTGACTCTCTTCTAACTGGTTGTGTCGCGCGCGTGACTACCATATGAATAAACGAAGGCACCGTCATCCCGATGGAACGTAAGGGACAATCGCGGACGGTTATCTTCTTATTCAAAAGTTTCGTGGCATCGCGCGCGCACCTTCAATTACCATGATAAGTATTATTGACTTGAATGCTCCATCTAGACGCATTCTTTCGCGCGACGTCGTCGCCACACAGACGACGAATTTGAACTCTTAATAGAATCTATTCTATTGCCCCGCGGCCTTTGTTCTGCAATTCATTTTTCTCGAAGGGGAGGGAGGAGGAGTCTATTCAACGGCGGTAAGAGCCTCGCCGTATAAGACGGCTGAGTTGGTTGCTTATATGTTTGTGTGCCTATTCTCCCGACGATTATAGATCTTATATAGGCGTTATTGCCACTTATAACGACGCCATGTTTCTATTGTCGCGGCCGAATCTATACATTCGTCGCGGTGAAACGCGCGCATAAAAGGAGGGAGAGAAAGATTGTACAGGATCAAAGTGTGTCCAGACATTTTGGTACATTCGGTTAGGCTATGAATTCAGTGAACATGTATATTATTCGTTTTCTTTCAGTCGACGTGAAATACTGTGTCGTATGTTTTTTTAAGATTCAGAGTAAATGTAAGACTTTCCATAAGAATCGAATTAGAAGTCATAACAGATATCGTATGGCAAGGGGTTAATATCTAGACATACAAAAGCATCGCCAACTTTTGTATTTCCCTAAAGTACGTCTGTGGTTCGTACAACCGTATCGAAAGGGTTAAAGCGCAGCCACTGACTCTCTGGCCCCCGTGCAAAAAGAAGCGAGACCAGTCGAAATTCCGTAGGATGAACGCCGAGACAAGAGCGAAACGCGCAAAAAAAAAAATGGAATGGGACGAAAAGGAGTGGTTTCGAGTTTGATAGAGGATCGAGGCGCGTATCAAACGAGCGGCCGGAGAGGCCGTTCGGCCCTTAAAAATTAATTTGAAAAGTCAGCCGAGTGCTGGGCGCTTCTGAAAACGATTCCGTATATGAGAAGTCTCGAGGGAAGGGGGAGGGGGGCATAGGCCAGGACCTTTTCGTATTGCGAAAATCGCGAACCGCGCGTCAGACCGCGGACGAAAACTTTTCAAATGAGCCAACTTTGCGTGTGTCTTGCGGTTTCGGCGCCGCGTCTCGCAACCCTTTTTCTAGAGACGTGGAAAACCTCGCATATTAGCAAAGTTGTCGACAGAGACGCGCGAGCCTCCGTTTCCATACCCTCTACGTCAGCATCTTTCGGCCGAGCTGCACTTTTTTCGACCCCACCGAATGTAACCTTTTACCTAGGACGATAAACGTTCCTGCGCGCCTTAAACTTGCGAAATGATCTCGCGAAAAATCGTTTAGAAGTACCTAGAACACAAGGGTTAACCTAGACCTCGTTAAAAAGGCGCCGTTACCATTTGGGGACTCCTTGTCGGTGCTGAGGAGCCTTCGAACACTCACCGATGATTCGCTGTATTTCTACCGGATCTCTCGAGACGCAAAACCCTCCCAATCGACGATCCCTAAAAAATTTCGTCTATTTTCTATGCTAACTTGTTCGAATACGATATCGCTAACCGTTCTTGTCTTTTTTTCTTGTTACAGGCCAAGTTGTTGGAGTCATCCCACGCTTGGCTCGGAGCCTCCACGTCGAGTATAGCAGGTAAGTTGTTCGACGCTTTCCACGTTTACCTAATTGTCTCTGTTAGCTGTTACGGGCAGCGCATTTCAGGAAACCCGTGCAATAACATTGAAACGCGACCGTGAACTTTGAGATTCACTCGTTTAAGAAGCTCACAATTTCGAGAACATATATTCTCCGCGATTTCTCGTTCGATTACCCGGTTGCGATCGATCATTGTCCACCGATCGCGCGCGATTTTACCGTCGTCTAGTTCTCCCGTTTACTTTTTCACCGAGTAGCTCATCGATAATAGCGATCAGGACGCCGAGGATAGAAGAAGAGGGAGGAAGGAGACGGGGCCACGAGAAAAACTCGTTGAGTATAACGGTGAGACGACGCGGGTAGACGGAGTCTATGGACGCATATTACCGTCGAGAAGAACATCGAAAGAACCGACGGATGGCGAAGAAGAAAAGCTGTGAATTCGAAGCGAAAGACACGGAGGAGCGGAGCGCACGAAGACCGAGCTCGGAAAGGTGTAGGGCGACAGTAAAAAAATAAAATGGCGGTAATACAAACGAAGGAACGCGCGTGCTTTAATACAGAAAGCGGTTTCGGATAGAGAACCGAGTGGCCGGCTGATAATATTAATAAATATTATATAATGGCACCGATAACGTGCTCGAGATTCGTGCACGATGCGTCTTCGAACTTCACACATCGCGCGGGTACTTTCTTGTGTATCTTCATTTGGAGCTAACGAGCGAAATCTTTGTTATCGTTAGGCATCCACCAAGAATTTCACGAGAGACCGGGTTTCTTGCTTGGCCCAATTCAATTTTCTTTGAACCCCGACGGAAGTGATCGAAACGAAGCTGTCGTTGATTTCGCGAGTAATCGACGCGATAGAGAAGTTTACCAAGCAATTACAATTTCCCACGCCTCGTCGTCTCACCGGTCTACACGCAACCCCCTTTCTTTCCAACCCTTATACGTCACCGCCGATGACCGCCTCTTTGAATCTCCGTTTCCTTTTGCACGGAAATTCTCGTTTCGAGATGACACGAACGAGGATAGACTCGACGAACCTGCGAAACTAATGCGGAAAGAGACAGTAAATGGACGAGCGAGAGAGATATCGGTATGGAGGGACTGGGTGGGTTGCCAAAAAATGCGAAACAGGGAAAGGGATATTGTATTTCTAAGCTAATCACGTCGATTTCCGTACGGCCACGTTATCTCCTCTCCAAAGAGCGCACGATCTGGTTTAGGTGCAGCTACCGGTCCAACACCAAAGAACAAAAGTCGAAATCCCTGACTATTTTTTAGCTGACTATACGACCCTGCTGAAGCTGAAGGCGCCCACGTGGACGCGACACGATCTCCAGGAAGCGATCGAGGCGGTGGTCACGCAGAAGATGCGATTCACCCAGGCGTCCACCAAATATGGGATACCGAAAGGCACGCTGTACGACAACATCCTGGGAAAGACGAAGCGTATGATGGTACTCGAAGAGGCGGGCCTGAACTCGAACGAGGAGACCGCGGTCCTCGAGTTCTGTTGCGACATCAGCGTCAGCCCGTACAATCGGCGAACGAAAAAATCGTTGAACGCGATTCTGAACTTCGTCGAGAAGCTCAGACGTAAACGCGATCCCGGATTCCTGTTCAGCGGTCTCTCCGGTTTCCGTTGGTGGTGGGCTTTTTGTAAGAAACACTCGATAGTCTCGCTGTACTTCAACGACGAGAACGAGAACGATCAGTGAGAATTTGTGTCCCACGCGTTGAGTAGAAGCCCACACGATCCCAGGACTTCGGTCGAGAGTACACACCAGAGATGGGTAAAATTCATTATCTAACACGGTGTCCCAGAATAACTTCGACTCCCAGGAATGAGGGGTTCCTGGGATAATTTGAAACAATTTCTTCCTTAACAAACATGTTGCCCGAGGGTTCGTTAATGAGATGTTATAACATTTTTGCTAAGGAAAAAGTTCTTTCAAATCATCCCTGGAAACCCACACTTCCGAGAGTCGAAGCTATTTTAGGACGCCCTGTATATAAATAATCTAACACTATCTAATATACATAATTATATAAATAAAAAGTTTCGAATAAAAGAAAACGATAGAATTTCGCCGTTTTTACTCGACTGAACGTGGAAATTCCAGTTTTTATAAGATAATATTTCGTCTCGAGTGAGTAGACTGTTAAGTGTCAGGATGACGATCTTAGATATTGTTGCTTTTCACAGTGTATTATTCGACTAAAATTCTGCCCAACTCTGGTGCACACGGACGTCTCATTCCCCCGTCGATCGTACCCTTACACTCGAAGCGGATACGATAGTTCGATTATTACGGATCGAAAAAGAACGGCCGTCGTTCCATCCACGATTCTATTTTTAAATCGATATTTCCCACACATTCCATACGCGCGATCCTGTACTCTCGAACGAAATTCGTCCGAACTGAACGTGTTGTACAGTTCTAGCAGGACCGATAGCGATGATAATAAATTATAGCAATAATAGCGCTAATAATGACGTTTATAGTAATAGGAATAATAATATATATTACGTTGACGCGGCGAAACGATCGTACCAGCGATAAGATAGTGCCTTACCCCGACGTCTTCCACTCGATTGTAATTTAGCGTAAATTCAATCCTGTAATTATAGTCGTTGACTCGACTCCCGTCGCTTTTTGTAAGAAAATATCGAATCGAAAGCGTAGAGTCCGCGATCCTCGGATGTTAAGAAATCTATTTTGTATCTCATCGCGTGCCTTACTCAAGTGTGATTATTCCGCGAACCTTTTTGCAATTCGAGATTATTAGAGTTTAGAGCATTCCAACGCGCCAATTAACACAGTTCGTACCTTTTACAAGAACTGAGTCGTTTTTATTCCAATAAAGACTACGATATTTTTGGAATTAATTGTACTATATTCGATCGGACCTGCCGAGTCCTTGGTCCAAGGGAAACGTCCTCGAATTCAGAATTCGGAAAGCGATAAAAAGTATTTGGAATATTTACGGGAAACGTGAATTTTTCAACGTTTCGTGAAATTGAAGAAAATTATTTCGGCTGATCGATTCTGCTAGCCAACCGTCACGCCTCTTCGTGAACTGTTCGATGCATAGAATATCGCTCGTATTGGCTGGAACGACCTGGCGGCACGCGTTGCCCAAAGTGTTTCAATGTGCTCCGTGGGATATTGCGCAACAAATGGTTGAACCACACCGAACTACGCTATATACACACGTTCGCTCTAGAAGACTCGTCGGAACCGAAAGAAAACCTTGTAAACTGACCGTCCACGGTGATTTTGATCCACAGACTTTTAGCTTTCGAGTTCCGAATTCGCCGTTAGTGTTCTCGGATATTAAAAAGGCAGACTATATTTTCTACAAAGATATTCGAAAACTGGTAGAGCGTCGCGTAGATCGAGCATATTCCCGTGATTACCTAATACTGAAATTTCGCGCCAAACGGGAGGTAATAAATGGCAACTTTTGGGTTTTGACATCTGCCAAGTTTCATACTTAACGACCCAATAGATTCTGTTAGAATCGGTCGCGCGTTCCGCGATACCCTTAGCAATAAGATTCTTCGGCCCGTGATATAGAATTATAGCGCTACCTCGCCGAAACGAACCGTTTCGTTTCGTTTCGTTTTCACGTTGCGTTTCGCGTCGCGGGAAAAACGCAACGCTCGATATCGCAGGCGTACGCGTCGTCGTCTCAAGTCTTCCGACGCGAAAATCGCTCGATAATCGATGTTTCGCGCGAGTCGAACGATATGCTCAAGTCCCGATACACCGAAGAATTCCTGGCACTCGTGGAATATTAGCGTTGGCGAATTTTTCGAAACAGCCGCCTCACAGTGATCCAGAATTCAAATTTAGCAGCTCATACGGTCAAACAATAAAAACATTTTGTAACTTGTAATTTTATTGAAGTAGTAGTAAATAAGGAAAACGTGTTTTTTTTTTTAATTTTAGTGTGCTCAATATCTTCATGAAAGCATGAATTTTTAAGGAATCTTTTTCTTTATTATTGTCTGAGATTAATGATGCAAAAGCAATAATAATTCATGGAACGAATCTTTCGTGATTAATAATTAGACGATGAGAGTGTTTTTGGAAAATAAATGAAAGTTAGTTTTCACCATTTGAGCTGTGAAATTTTGATTCTCGACGACTGTGTGTCGTCGACGCGGCGGAACGGCGAATAGGACCGCAAGCATCTCTGAAACTATAATAAACGGTGGACACGATTTTTATTCCTATTGTACATTCCTTGTCAACCGTAGGGAGGAGAGTAAATACCTTCTCGAACCAAATGTGAAGTGCAACTGCATCCCGCGGGTTCCAGTATGTTATAGTTTCAGAGACATTTAACAACGTTTCCTTTGCACGTCTCGTTAATCGCGCCATTACAATAAATCCTCGATAAGTGTTTAAAGGTTCCTCGACACTGACAAGGAAAATTGCTCAAATATAACACTGACATTTTAATGAAGTTTAGTACAGTGATAGACCTTGGAATTCTGAAGTCAGTGATATGTGTTTCAACTGCGTACGGCCACTAGTTTACAAAATATTTAATGTTCAGTACCGAGAAACCTGCGACCACTCATCGAGAATTCACTGTATTCCGTTTCTGTACCGCAGAGGAACGTTCGGATAGTTATAGAAAACCTCGATATCGTTGTTTACCTCGCTGGAGCCTTGAAGAAACACAAAAAAATAAGCATCCTATCGTTTCTATCGTGAACACGTGCGCGCGCGCGCGCGCCTCGGGACCGCGCGTCCGCGCAAGTTAGCGGGCGCGTCTTTCCAATTAATTGTATTAATCGTCAAATTGGAGGATGCTCAATTAAACCCAATAAGTTAACTATTAAATAATCGTTGCGAATTGAGGTCAGCCGTCCGTGGCGTAGCCGGTATATTCGAGTTATATCGCGCGCGCGCGCGCGCGCATATTCGCGAAGGCAAAACGGTTGCGAACATGCGAGATTACCGGTTTAACGTTAAGCAAAATATTTTCTATTAACGATCGAGCTTGTTCCGTTTACCAATTGACACACACACACACACACACACACGCATACACGCTCTTTCTTTCTCACACTTTTTTTTTTCTTCTCTGCGACGATTGTATGCTAACGACAATACAATCGATACGTGAACGTAACACGAGGCGCTGTTGTGTGTCTTTATTCCCCCTCGTTCTCCCCCCCAATTCCCCGCCGCAATTTGCCTTTCAACACGTTTGTTCGCAGGTACGCTTCGGCAAAGCAGCTACGAAGGAACCTCTATCCACGTGATTCTCGCACCTTGACACGACTTACCCACGTTTGGTTATTTACGCTATTTACGTCATTCGCTAGCATATATTGTTCTACCGAATGTTAATCACCGTGACGATTCGATTTTCTCGGGCGCGAATTTGCATATTCGCGGCCAACAGAATTTTGCGGCCCGATCAACCTTTCGATCTGACCCAGCAATCGACAAAAAAAGAAAATATGAAAAATCGTTCAGTAAAGACAGAATGTCGAAGATCGAAAGGTTTGGTCGCGATCGCGACGCTTTCCGATCTTTCCTCGCGTCCTCTCTCTCTCTCTCTCTCTCTCCCGATCGCAAACGCGAAATACACTGACTAACGCTGTGCTTTTTCTGTTTTCTCTTTTCCGCGGGGGGCGTAAACTAGCAGACAGCTACCAGTATCAGCTGCAGTCGATGTGGCAGAAATGCTGGAACACCAATCAGAGCCTGGTGCACAATCTACGTTTCCGTGAACGAGGCCCTCTCAAGTCCTGGCGACCGGAAACGATGGCGGAGGCGATCTTCAGCGTTCTCAAGGAGGGATTATCCCTGAGCCAAGCCGCAAGGTAATCAAAGGTTTTACCTATTTTTTTTTCCTTGATTCCCTTGTGTCACGCGAGTTTCTTTTCCCGTTTCGACAACGCCCAACACCTCACCCAATTTAATACCTCGCAGTGTTTAATCGACGAACGCGCGGGGAATTCCCGTTTGGTCGTTTACGTTTCGACGGTCGTTTCTCTGCCACTCAAACATGTCCAAACTGAATTTTCTACGTTCGTTGAATCGAGAACCGCGTCGCGTCGCTATTTAACTAGTCGAGAATCGTCTGGATTTACGTCCGCGTCAGACGTTTCTCCCGTTTAAGGAACACCGCGCTGAGAAGAATTTCATTACCGGATGGATATTTGCGGCGCGACGAGGTAAATTCAACTAAGAAAGTTCATCGGACCGTTGTAACGGAATGTGAACGGACGAAGTGCCGCGTAAGAAAGCGACCGGCCACCCTATTCGAAAACGTGTTTCGTCGCGGAAGATTGGAAACACGTACAGTAAATCCTCGATGAGTGTTCGAAGGCTCCCCAGTACTGAACATTAAATATTTCATAAACTAATATCCCTATGTTACAATATATAAGAATCCTTCAAACACTCATCGAGGATTTACTGTATTAAGAACATTCAGAGCTCCAAGGCTTCTTTCCATCTCGAAAACCTTTTTCATCTTTGGAGAACTCGACGCACACCGGTGGTGCTTGTTTCGTGCATATTTTCTCGATCTTTCTTATCCCGACTCCGGTAACTCGTGACCCAGACGCAAATGGGTCAAAACACACCGAAGAAAGAATCGGCTGTGGCGCTCGAAGAGGCCTTATAGCGAGCCAGCGACGGCCGTCTTAACAGCTTTTACAGCCTGGTCGTAAAAGCGCGTATCGCGCACGCGTAATAACGCACGTCGCCGTTAACGGGGTCTTTTCCCTTTGTGCGACGGCGGGAGAGCACGATCGACGAACGTTTCGCGGAACGAACCCGATAATCTTTACGAGAATCGATCGGTTTACACCACACCCGTAGCGGCGGGTCAACGAATCCTTCATTTAACCCTCGTACAACGAATGCAGGATCATTTTATTTATTTATTTATTAAACTGGCAATAAGCCCTTTGGTATACATGTACGGACAAAATATAAGTAACAAAATTGACAAAATTATAAGTCAGGTTTGACCGACCTGTAGCCGTATATTCGTTGTAATTATATGTAAATATAATAGTAAACTCGACTTCCGCTAGGGGAAGTCGGCGTAGAAGAATGGCCTCCTACCATTTGGTCTCGGGAGTTATTGAAATTTATGCCAAATTAACATTCGGTTTAACATTTATTTCAGTACTTGAAATAAATTTACCAAGTGGTAGGAAACTCCCTGCGCCGTTTTTTTCCCTAGCGGAAGCGGAGTTTGTCAATGGAAATTCCGATACCGGTCAAATTGACTCTGCATTCGTCCGCAGCGTAAGTCCCGCACGCTTCGCCGATTCCAAGGGTTAAAACCATCGTTACCACTGTGTTTCTCTTTTGCAGGAAATACGACATCCCGTACCCGACGTTCGTTCTCTACGCCAATCGGGTGCACAACATGCTGGGTCCTAGCGCCGACGGCGGGGCCGGTGAGTGTTAGTTGCCATTTTCACTAAAACACACCTTGCGACACGTCCGTTTCTCGATCAGCCTTCAGCTAACCCTTAAAATGGCAAGCGAAAATCCTTCTCGTGACTCGTCTGTATCTCATAACTGTTTCGTTCCTTTTTTAAGAGTACGTTCTCACCTTAATATCTTAATCGTTAAAAATATTGTTAAATATACTCGAAGGTGTGATTCGATCGTAATTGGCGGGGTCGTAAAGCACGTATCGGTATTCGTTACTTTCTTAGCCTCTGAAAACGATGTCCTTTCACGCGAGCAATACGCGCAGGGTGGTAGTTGAACCTCAAGAGACGGTGGATCGTCGCGAGTATTTCTTGGCGATGCTAATTTTTCATCCCCCCAATACGATTCCCGTCCTTCTTGGTTGCTCAGATCTTCGGCCGAAGGGACGTGGCAGACCGCAAAGGATTCTGCTCGGTGTCTGGCCCGACGAGCACATTCGTGGCGTGATTCGGGCCGTTGTGTTCCGCGACGGTCACTCGCCGCACATCGTCAAGGAAGAACCGGCCTCCATGTACCCGAGTCTGGCGAATTACGCCGCGTGCAACGGACCGGAAGGAGCGGTCAGCCCCGGAGCGGCAGCCGCGGCCGCGGTCGCCGCGGTCGCTCAAGGTAACATCTTCTTGCGAGTTCTTGTTGCCGTCCCGTAAAATAAATAGATACACACTCCTATTCCCTTTCACTTGGAGATTGCAGTAGATTGGGAGTGGTTGGTCAGCCACTGCACCACGCGCACATTTATTTTAATTTGTTTACGGGATAATTCCCATTAGAATACAAGAGAAAGAATATATACAGGAAATTCTCTATGAGTGTTCGAATACTCCATGGCAGTGAACATAAATATTTCATAAACTAATGTGCGGCTAAAAGAAATATCGTTGGCTTCAGAATTCCAAGCACTGAGTTAAACCTTGTTAAAACGAAACTTCAATATCTCCCTTGTTTCTGAAGATAGAAAATACTGTGAGGGGTCATTCGTGTCATCATTGTCGTTTCAAAAATACGATGAATAGGATCAGAGATAAAAAATCTTGAGTTATACACTTGTAAGTGATATCGATGCACAGATCTCAGCAGCCTTGTAGGTGCATACAAGCAAATGAGACCAAGATGCCGAGGACAATGAACGATGTTGTTTAATTTTTAAAACAAACACCTTAAATTACGGGGTACATTAACGAATAGACTTGCTTGTCCCGGTTACCAAGAATTCAAAGAAGAACCAGGGTACAATTAATGTAGAATAATTTTATTCTACACCCCCGAAACGATGTTAAGATTGTAATCCAATGATTGTTCTCCCGCAGGTCTCCGACACCAGATGTGCAACATGGTGGCAGCGGCGCATTCCCAGCAACACGACATGATGGCGACGAATCTCTCGACGAACCTGTCCACGAACCTCTCAACTAGCCTCTCGTCGAATCTCCAAGCGGCGATGCAGGCCAGCCAGCATCATCACAACAGCAACAACAGCGGCGCGGTCGTGATCGGTAGCAACAACGGCAGCAGCGGCGGTGGCGGTATGGGTGGTGGAATGGGCAACAACGGTAATTCACCTTTGAATCTCGGCCTGGCCAGTCCAGGATCGGGCGGACCACCAGAAAGCCCCATGGAGAGTCCCTTGGCGAGTCCACTCGGCCCACTGATGGATCCAGGACACATACCGAGCAGCGTAGAAGTCGGGATCGGTGTCAGCGGAATGACATACAAACCGACGCGAAGCTTCGTCAGTCCGCGACCGGAGAATCTCTTCCAAGAGGATATCGCGGACCTCGTGAAAAGTCCACACGGGCTGAAGGACAAGGACAAGATCCCCGTCAAGCTCGAGCCGTTGACAGACTCCCGTTGCGAATAGTAAGCCAGAGATAACGGGGGAACGGAAGAGCTCTGATCGTTGCCGGTTGGATCGGCCGGAAAACACATTCCGTTTCCACCAATTGATCCTATAAACAGGCTTTCCTCCCGGTTTGTTTCCCCGGGTTCGCGCCTGTGTACCGGTCCACGTGCAGCGGCTGGCTCTTTCCGGCGATAACCGAATATCTCTCTCCGAATAGAGAACACCGGCGAGTTAGTTCGCGATAACCACGGGTAATACGACTCGATTAGCTGCCCTGGCCGATCGGTCGATTCGACCGTGTTGCGAGGAAAACGCCGAGCAAACTATCGCCGCGGCGTCGACCGAATCGAATCGTTCAGTTATAACGCTCGGTCCCCCGAGCGAACTGAACCGGCGACCGATTCGTTCGCGCGGCGAGGCGAACGTAATATACCTATAGCGATCTCGGACGAGGTCGAGGCTTACAATCAAAATAAAGAGGGAAAAGAAAGGACGGGGGAGAAAGTGTGTAACCAAGCGAACGGGGGAGGGGGAGACGACGAGACCCGTCTGCGATCGATGCTCGATCCCTCGAACCCAGACCCGACGTTTTCTTCCTTCGCGATATCTACCGAGCATTCGATTCGGCGATCGTGTCTCGTCGATTCCTCGGTCCCGAGCAATCGTTCTGTTGCGAGACAACGTTCCGTAGTTAAGTTACCTGGTCGATTGGAAATTCGCGGAATTCTCCCAGATATCGGATCGGTACACGATCCACGGCGCTTTGGATTCGCGCGAGTCCAGCGCGGCAAGGTACGTTTTGCTGTTCCGCGAGAGAAAGAGATTTAAACTCGAGATTTCTATATCCACGCATATACGATAACCGTACGTTTAATGCCAAATGTATAGTAATTGGCGCCCTGGCCTCGAGCCACGAGCCACATTATCCACGTCGGAACGATCGCCCGACGGGATCGCCGGGGGGCGTGCGTTCGTCGACACGGACACTAGATGTTTCAGTTTTTTTTTTAATTATTTTTTTTTTTCGATCGAGACGTGACTCGTTGGGGAATCGCGGTTCTGGAACCGAGAAACGGATTGCCGAATCGGGTAAAATTGATAAAGTTAATCCGCGAGTCCGAGGAACCGCGAGCAACCGCCCGACGGGCCCAATTGATGTACAAAATTTGCTTACGACTGTGTCGGTCGGAATTAGAAGACGACTGAATCTCTACGAAACGAAAGAAAGAAGAAAGAAACAGTGAAAAAAGAAAGCCATTTTGTTCGGCTCGAGCGGACACCTTAGGACGCGAAATGAAAGAACAAAAAAAAAAAAAACAACACCGATTGCTATACTTTATTAAGTGTAATGATTGCCTTCCTGCCATATTTGGGGTATGCCAAGTATAAAAATTATAAGATTTAGAGATTAGGGAAATGAGAAAATTAACGGCGACACGACCGCGAAATTCATTGAATTTGGAACAGGTGAAAAGGTCGATAGGTGTGTGTGTGTGTGTATGTGTGAATGCGTGTGTGAGAGTGTGCCGAGTCGACGAGAGAAAGAGACAGAGAGAGAGAACAGTTTGCCTCGGATTTACAGGGAGAATGGGCGTGAGTGCGCGACCGAATGCTTTTGTTTTCGGGAAAGATCGTGCTATTTTTCAAAATTTTACATATTGCGCGTACGACAGTTTCGCGAAGGGACCCTCGATCCTCGACAATCGAAGAACGACGCGTGTCGAGTAGTCGGGAGGAACAGAGGTCGCACACGGAACCGGGAATACGTGATTCGTTTGAAAATATTCAGGATCCGGATTCACGTCCTGCGCTGCCTTCGTTCCTCCTTGCCGCGGACCGCCGTTCGGAGATTTCGTGCGACACGTCCACGAGCGAGTTTCTAACGTAGGGACAGAAAGGGGGAAGAAAAAGACTATAGACCTAGAGAAATTGAGAGAGATGGGGAGAGAAAACGCGAAAGAATGCGTGCGCGAATGGAATAGAGGAAAAAGGGGCGAAGAAAGTGAGAAGAGGGCGCGCGCGCGAGTATCGTGTGAAAGGGGAGAACGGGAACTTTCTAAAAAAAAAAAAGACTAAATGAAACAGAAGCAGAATTTTGAAAAGTTGGCCCCAACTGGTCGAGCGACTCTTCGTAAGTATTAAAAAAAATTTAAACAAAAAACAATTTTTCGAAGTGGCCTTCTGTAAAAGGAAAAGACCATCGCTTTTCGCTTTTGCTCTGGGGGGGGGGGAGGAAAGGAATGGTGTGCATAGGTTTTGTCCGTCGTGTTATCCGTTTGTCTGGGCAGTTTTGTCGGGGGAAAAAAAAATAATCGTCGTTCTCGCGCCACACACGCTCCCCTGCCGAAAGCTTAAAAGGACGGTTCCGTAGGAAAAGTAATTCGGGGGTGTGTATTAGCAAGATATATTATTATCGGCGATTTTTAGAAAATTAAACAAATTTCGGGAAACTCGGAGTAATCGCGTTATTCTTGATACGAAAGATTTTTTTGGGGCGTGAACGTGAAACGTTTTCCAACGTGTGTATAGTCGGGAGGTAGGAGGGGGGAGGGGGGAGTGAGAGATGGATAAGTAAACCGATCGAGCACGAATTTTATTTTCCGCGTGAATCGAGGGAACCGCAAATGTACGGACGGGCAACAAAGGAAATATACGGTGGATCGCGACTTTTAAAAGATTTTATTACGATTTAGGCTTAATGTGTTCAACGAGAAGGTAAATTTGAACGAAACCAGCGGTGAGGGTGGAGCGAAAGAAATTCGAGAACCGAAGCGAGGAGAGAGACGGGGGTTGGGTGGGATGGAGCGGGGGTGGGAAGGAGGAAATACGAGTTCAAAGAGCCGCGAACGAAATTGCGAGAAAGAATTAGCGGGGTAAAGGAGAGGGAACGAGAGCGTTTGGGGCTGGGAAGGGTGGGGTAAGGGGAGGGCAGAGGGATTAGGGGGAAAGTGTGCGAGAGAGAAAAGAGGATGGGGCATGTGAACAGGCGAGAATGTGGAAGAGATTAAAATTAATATTGTATAAAAAAAAAAAGTAGTAAGTGCCTTTCAAAGAAAAAAAAAAAATTAACGTGTCCCGTAGACCGTGACCACTTGTACATGATGAGAAGTCGTTCGAAATTTCGCGTCACCGAATATAAACCGTTTGCGACTGATAAAGAATGATGAAGCGACAAAAAGAAAAGGGAGAAACGTGAAAATGAAACAAAGACTTATTGTTTGTGGGGACGTTGCGTAAAAATTATCACAGGATTTTTTCGTTAGTCTAAACGTATATTCTCTTCGTCTCGTCTCGGAAGTCTAAGCGACGCTGCGCGATTTCTAGGAAGTATTACAAAAAAAGAGCACACGATTTTCATTAGTCGAGGGGATAGAATCGAAGGAGGAACTCGAATATTTTACGAAAACTTTTGGCTTTCCGTTTGAACGACGCGCGAGAGGGAGGAGGTAAGAGGGGGGAAATATTTTCCGTCGATTACGCAATGTGTCTACGAATCCTTTTGTGTGCGTGTAGAGCGAATGTACAGAATCTACAAGCAAAAACCGGACAAAATTTCTGTTTCGGATCTACCCACTACCGGTAATACCCTGAATGGCATATTCTCGTAAACGTTTCTTTTGATTCGCTTGTACGAGAGAGATAGGTTAAAGAGAAAGAGAGAGAAAAGAGCAAGAGACCGTAAACGCGGGGAGGAGGGGAAAGCGTATAAACTTGAATCAGCAGAGAAGGGAACGGATATTTCGAGAAACTTTCGTTTACGCATTTTGATATATCTGTGAACAGATGAAGAAGAAGAAAAAAAACACAAAGATACTTATATTACATACATAAGGTGTAAGTGAACAAAAAAAAGCATCTAATACGCTATTACTGATATAGGACACAAAGTAAAGTAAATATATATATATGAGACAAAAAAAAAGTATATATATATATATATACATAAATTGATATATTGACGCTATATAAGGTTGCTGCTGGATGCGTTTTACTTTTGAGGGAAGGTGATGCGCAGTTTTCCGTTCAAACGTCGTCGACGGACGAAACAAAAGTTCACGGGAAAGAGATTAAGTTAGACAAAAGTGTAAGGACCTTAGAGTCGAGGATAAAGTAGTTCTTAGAATTTTTATCGAGGCAACGTAAGGACGGACGGGCGTGACGGTAGTAGTATACTACTTTCCAGAAAAGGAAAGAGAGAAAAAGAAAGAAAGAAAACCTGCCCATTTGTCCTCGTGGCTTCTGCGTTTCGCTCGTTTATCGATCGTTCTCGCGGCTTTTCCGTCCTCTCGATCCGTCTTGCGCGTCCATCTTTCCCGATTCGCTAACCGTACCGTTCGTGAATCCGACACGGGAATGTTATGTCGCGTCACGCAGCACGGATCGAAAGCCAATGGAAAAGCGTGCCGTTGCTGTAGCGACGTTAGCGAGTTCGTAACGTTCGATCTTTCTCGCGAATCGCGAGATACCTAACAGAAACTGTGAAAGGTTTTCCACGAGCGAGCGACCGAGACGCATCCGGCCGCGAGGTGGGCTAGACTCAGCCGCAGCCATAGCCAGTCCCAATTAATATTTCAATATCGTGATACTCGGGTACGCTTAATTTGTTCGATGTTTACCGGTCTGCTTATCCATGTAACGAGTGACAAACAACAAGTAACTTTTGTAATAACGCATCTCTCTGTAAACTCGGCCCGATTCGAGGCTCGTTATTCCTACGATATTTCACCTAAAGTTTCTCCCAGCGAGCAACACGGCGTGGCTCCGAGTATCACGGCGTTCGAATATCGTGGCAGCCGATGAATTCGCAGAAATTTCTAACACGTTCGTTCTACTTCGGGAATCCGCGGAGAAACAGGATCTGAAATGTATCACGCACGCGCCGAACTCTTTTCTTTATTTTCGCCTTAGCTTCGAGGTGTAACATCGTATCATAATTAATGGTCGACCGACATACATACACGCCACATTCAATACACGAGGAGGAAGAGATGATAAAAGGTACTGAAATGAATCCCCAGCAAACTTGTAAGAATAAATGCGATAGACGAAGCGTAGTAGTCCCGTATCCGCGATTTACAACTAGTTTACAGGATCTGTAACACGTAACGGCATTCACCGGTGGGAGTGAAGGATAGAGAGAGAGAGAGAGAGAGAGAGAGAGAGAGAGAGAGAGAATGAGAGAGTATTAGCGAGACGTTACGGCAGCGGAAGAAGAAACGCAACATGTAAGAGGGGGAGAACAAATAAACACGTCCGATTTGCGTGTTTTCCATTTCTCTGCTAAGGTAACGGCTGAACGTTTCCAAGATAAATCGTAGGTGGCATCCTAATTTACAGAAACCTAGTAGTCGAGCAATAGAACCGCACATTTGTCAGAACCTGATTATTTAATCGTACTCACCCGGTCGCGAGCCGATATTCAATACATACGACACGCGCAACCGAAACTTCTACGATCATACATAAGTACACGACACAGCATATACAAGCGTACACGTACAGGAAAACAAAGCGAGCGTGAGAGATAATAAAGAAACGGAAGTGAGAAGTAAACTGCGATCGAAAGGATTTTGGTCATTCAGAATCTGTCGGACCACCTTGATTCCCCCCAAACAGAAGTCTTACCAGGTGTGCAGCTAAACAGTAATAGTGGGGATGGCCGTTCGTTGATTTTGAGCGGTCAAAATTCCTTAGCCGGTGCTCTAAGAGCAGAAAAATTACCGAGAAAGAAAGTACATTGGAACGGTGGAGAAAGTGATGGAAAAGGGAAGGTATTGATACGGAGTACGAATATAGAAAGAACGCGAGCGAGTGAGCGGAAAGGGGGAAAATGCGAGAAAACAAGGGAAACACAATTCTTAGAACAATCACACTAATGAAACACACAGTATACTACGCGACAGAGACAGGCACAACCGCGCGTTCACTGTAAATAGAGAAAATGCAACTTTAATTCTACGGTTCAAAGTTCATCTTTATTATCGTAATTTGTAATATATTTATTTGTCCGGTCGTGAAGATACTTTATTGTAGTTTAATTAGATTCCAGGCCTCTGTTTCATTTGAATCTGCCGCTGAAGCGCGCCAACGGGGCATTGGTCGCGCACATTCGGAGAGGCGTAAACGCGTTCTCTGTTTTGGTACGATAACAAATATTTTTGAAAACACTTGCAAATAAAATCCCGGAGCGCACGGCCTCTCCGAGCAATGCCCCGCGATTATTAGGAAGATGATCGAAGCAGGAGGACTCAAAGCTCTCGCGATCGAGGCTAATCATGGCCGACTTTAGACCAGTTCTTACCTCGAAATTTAACGACTCGTCAAATCGTTTCACGACCCCGTGTTATAATTTCTATCACGTTTCAGCCTCGTTCGCGCGATTTTACGTAGCCAGAGTATCCACCTGTTTTCGTTTCACCCTACAATCTCGATTGATTCGTACGAAATCGTCGCGGCCTATAGAAAGACGCTCGCTGTCCAAGGACGACGACTAGCGCCAAGTTTCTTTGCAGATGGCGATAGTTTGTAGTTACTATTATTTCTATGTTACGTTAAACAAAGTATTTCTTTTGAGTAGATAGTCAGAAATTTATTAAACCGACACAACCCATATACGAGAATAGTTGCGCGCATGTCTTTAATGGAGACACCCGGAATAATAATGTATATGTAACCGTGACGAATCGCGAAGCGACCTTTGTTTTCCGTTTCCTTCCGAATACCTCGGGATACTTCGAGACATTCGAGAGATAGTTTACTTATTAGTCACGGATGCAAAGCAAAACTTGTCACCCATTATAAATTCCTCTTTTATTTATTACCGATTAGCATGTAAGATGACGTTCTACCGACATATGCTATAATTATAAATACACCCTATATATAGTGGAGTAAGCGTTACATTACCTACCTACCTACCTATCCGTGCTTGACGGGTGAAACAAACAGATGAATCACGCAATCATACATTTAAGTTGCTATTTGGCACGTATACCTAAGTAATATACTAACATAAACAGTATGCAATAATAAATATGAGAAATTAAACAGGATCTCTTTCACTGAATCGTTCGATGTACCCTCTCCTTTGCGTGTTCCGCATCTTGCTGCACGCGATGTTCCGATCATCATATCCGATAAGAATATGAATTACGACCGCTCGAAAAGACAACCAATTTCTACTGGGAAATGGGATCGGTTATATACGCAAATGAAGTTTCTTAGAATAACTGCTTCTCCTAGAAATTGTTTTTATTTACATTTCACGAAAAATAAGTTAATTTGCCTCCCATCGTCAACGTAACTTTCAAAACTTGTATATAATTGTCTGAAGACGGTAGAATCAATGATCCGGCAAGAGTGACAAAAGCATGGAAGTTTTAGGATAGAATTGTTTTGTAGTTGTTTGCCATAACTTGGAATTCGATTCTCACCGTATACTGTTTCATAACTTCAAATCAGGAAACGTATGATTCGTTGATTACTTTTATAGATAAAAACTTCACGATTATACTTTCCCGTCAATTTGAATATTATTCCGATTATTCGCAAGTTGCGCTGAAGGCTGTCCAGGTTGCACATTCAATTGACTATGCTGTTGCGATGCCGCATTGCCTTGAACGCTTTGTGGTACGTGATTGATATTATTTACCGGAATTTGTCCCTGAGGTTGTTGAACCGGAACTTGTCCTTGATGTCGTTGAACAGGAACTTGTCCTTGATGTTGTTGAATAGGAACTTGTGCTTGATGTTGTTGAACTGGAACTTGTGCTTGATGTTGCGGGACCGGAATTTGTCCATGATGTTGCTGAACTGGAACTTGTCCTTGCTGTGGCATCTGCAGTTGTTGATACTGATGGTCTGATCCTATTTGACCTTGTACGTGTTGCTGTTGCGACAATTGCTCATGAACTGGTTGTACCGGTAGATGATTTGGGTATTGGTGCTGAGGAAGCCCCAGTTGTGGCTGCTGTTGATGATACTGCTGAGGATGATCCTGGAACTGTTGATCATGTTGGAAATCTTGAGGAACACCAGGATGAACATACTGCGGGGGGAACTGGAAAACATTCATTTACATAAACGTATTTCGTAACGAAATTGAATATGAACTGGGAATAAAAAGTATAAATTTTGAAAGTCTCACTTAACTGAATTATATTATAACTTACTTTCTTGGTTATTATATATACTGGAACAATATCTAGCGGAAAATACTACAATTACTTACCGACGCGTGTTGTGCGGGTATATTACCATCGTGTTGTGGTAGCTAATAACAGCAACAGAAAGTGCACAAGCTAATTATTATCCATTATAAAAAAAAAAGTAAATACAGACATAACAAGTTACGAAATTCTTATGTGGACAGAAATTAAAATACTGCACAACATACTGTTAAAAGTGATAATTTTGAAACAGTTTCCATTAAATAGAAAATATCTATTTCCATATGTTATTTAACAGGTGACGCAGCGTGTCTCAGTTAATTTCCTTAACTGCTTACGCTACTGCATTTTCTTCAATATAGTACACCACAGTAAATCATGACTTATCTAAGAACGCATTTCACTCAACTTTTCTTAAACTCAGGGACTAATTGTTAACTGATACATGCAATTAGCCAAACGTGTATACCAAAGCTCCAAAAATTTAATACAATGATAAAGTATTTGCACTCTATCAAATAATAATCTTCTCTACAATTTATTATACTTTTATGGACTTACCATTCCTTTGGCAATCATTCTTTGTATCTCTTCTTGTTTGTGCCTTGCAAAAGCTTCATACTCTTCTGGAGTGTAAATTTGTTGCTCATCTAATCCTTGCCATCCTTCGTCTCGTTGAAAATCTGGTTTTTTAGTTTGTTCCAAAAATTCGTCATAACTGAAATAATACGTAAATTAACAAAAATTGTCTGTGATAGATAAAAGTTTCGTGTACACACCTAATGAATTCATCTTTATTGAGATCAGCTTCATAAAAGACATGCTCTCTCATTCTTTCCATCTCTTCCGCACGCTTCAGTAATTCTTCTTTTGATGCTCCTTGGGCATACAACTTATCTAACTCTTTTAAAAATAGTGCTTTAACTTCATCTTGATCCCATACTCCATTGCCATCAATATCTGAAAGATTTATTAGCTTATAATATCATGGAACATGTTTTGTTCTAAGGAAAATATAAATAGTAGTTAAAAAAATAATAATTAATAGTTTGTATATTACCATGCATGTAGAAAAATGTTTTAGGATTAAAATCTTTAGGATCCATGTGATCTTGTTTCTCCCATACCTCCTCCAATTGTTGTTTGCTACCTGGATGATGAACCTATAAATGAAATGTGTTGAAAGACAATCCGGTAGAAATAAATTGCACAAGTTCTTGTAGTTAACTTACAGGTTCATGGTTTTTGTGCTTTTCTTTCAATGCTTCTAATTCTTGCTCATATTTTATTCGTTCCATGTCATCCATGTCTATGTAATATAATACAAAATATGTAATGTCAAGGTGTTACTTAAAAGAATAAGGGATAAATAAATTTAATTTGCATTACGTTTTAGTTTCTCTTGTTCATCATATTTTACTTCCATTTCATGCTGTTTAAATTCCTCTCTGCGCTTTATATTGGCCTCTGCCAAATCATTTGTAGTCTGCATCATGTATTAACAATTGTATTATCTTCATCTATCACTTATCACTTTATTGCATAATAAGTCTGTCTTACCTTTGCAATTAATTTCTTTAAATCTAGTATTTCAAATGTACGTGTGTTGGTATGATCTAAATGTTCAGCTATCTTTAGATGATCAACATCTAAACCATTTTTTATTTCGTTCTCCCTTGCCAGGAGATGTTTCAATCTTTCCAATTCATCTCTTTTTATCTCATCTAATCTTGTCCTAACATTATGATTTACAAATTGTAGTTGATCAGCTATTTTCCCTGTCTAATAATAAAATGCATTTGCCAGTAAATACAAAATTCAAAGCTTTTTTCACAGCTTTTGTTTCCATGTAATGCTACAACATCAACTTACACTTATATCTGCTTCATCTGCTTTTTCCAACTTTGCACGAAAGTCTGGATCATTGTCTAATATTTGAACCACTTCCATCAAGTACCTACGGTACTCTATAATGTCTGCCTACATATACAACACATGCTACAATTTTTATTAAAAAGATAAAAATGTGTTTTTTTAACAAGAAACATACCATTTCTTCAGCATCATCAACTTCATTTTCACTGTTGTGTTCTCCATCCTTAGTCTTTTTGTTAACAGGTGGTGCAACCACAAATTGCACCAATGTACATATTAAGATAAGTGGCAGGATGTATTGCATATTTATAATGAAGTGTAGAGCAATTGAACAACTGAAAACAACCATAACCTTGAGATAACACTGCAATCCTGGTTTGTCAAGTTTCTTTATATTAGGTAGGTTATTTGATAGAAATTTATAAAGAATATTGGTTCAGCGATATCTTTTACAATTAACCGCTATTTCAATAACAATACTAAAAATTGATAAAATGAAACCCACAATAAAGAAAATCAGATAGCCGAGGACAATCCGCCGAAAATGCAACTTTACGTTCAAAGCATTCCATCGAGTAATCGAATAAGTACGTGTCAGTGATTGGAAAAGATGTTCAAATGATCAAGACATTTGAAGAATTCGAAACATCGCTCGTTTACTCTATATACACTATTCTCTAGTGTATCACAATTGTTGCACAAGTATAGAAAACACGCTTCGTTCTTATAAACGAAAACTGAAAACTGAAAACTAAAAACTAAAACCCCGAGTAATTGAAAAAACGAGATATGTTCATGAATTCGAAGTCAAACAGGCTGAATGAGGTCACGTACAAAAAAATACATATACAGGGAATTCTTCTTAATATTACGGTTTACCGTTACGTCGAACAGTCTCGGTGAAAGTAACAATTTTCACTCAGCGCAACAACAGAAAAGCAGCTGTACTCGCTTAAAATATAACCAATGAAAGTACGCGGAACTTCGTGCATGAGTAAGTAACCATAATCTAATCTAATCGTAAGTGACCGAAGATCAACCGCGAAATAAAGAGCACTGACAGCGTATAATATGTACCAAGCAGAGCGAAAGATAAAGTAATCGAAATATTTGGTGATTGCGTACTTACAAATTGCAACTGGAATTTACGCGACTAACGTTAACACACGACTGTAACGTTCTTTCCAAAACGGATAGTGACGTGTACCTCGGCAGCGGGAATCGCGGGAATTTCACCGATACGGAAAAAGATTCATACGCAATCCCCACTTGGACCTGCTGTTTTGACTCTCACTGACTCACAGACTCACCCTGCACCGTGTCAGGAATTGATACGTGCGACGTGACCCGACAATAAAAACAATTTTACAAAAACGTGTAAAAGGAAACGAACTAGAATCCAGGATTGGTACTGGTCAGTACCAGTTCGTATTAACTTGATCACAATATGCTCCCACTCACCAATGCCTTTTTCTATCTACAGTTTGGGGGGATCTCAAGTCACAGACTGTATGTTAAAATGACAGGCTTTTTAAGGTGTCGGTACTATAGATTTCTTGGGACAGAAAACCCCGTAAAATGAGTGATCTGTATATTTATGTATGTATATTTGTACTCGTCATAGCATCCTGTATGCAATGTATGTATGTACGTATGTGACACGAATGGGGATGATTCGTTTTCAACTGTGTCGCGTCAGCATTTCATGCATACGATCGGGATGTCGCGTCGCAGATGTTGCATTATTCCTCTGCTAGATGGCAGCACGAGTATACACCAATATTTATCTTGATGTGTTTAAATTCTTTATGCATGCGAAAAAATGATTCTTTTCGAAACGAGAATTTTTATACTAACTTGTTCTATTCGATTGTTTCATCAGATGTTGCGAGGACGTTTAAATTGCCACGACTGTATAATTTAATATGTTCCAGGCCGATCTATGGATACTTGTTTTATTCCATTTGGAATCGCCTTTGATCTTTAATCGATGTTATTGCGCATTACTTAATAAGTTTAATGCAAACTGATTTCATCATGTAACGTGTAGATACTTACGATACGTTCTGCGTACCCGGTTTTGCGTATAATTTGGTTCTTTCAAACACAGTGACGTTTAATCAATCCGGTTTGCATTCTCCCATAATTGAATGAATATTATATATTGTAATCGCGATACGAAATTCGATTCATCGCTACGAACTGAAGCGATAGCTGAATGATGGATTAACAATCGATATATTAAACCTTAAAAGACTGTTTCAGTCAGTATATTACAATTTACATTGCATTATAAAAAGACACGAACAAGTTTTAAGAAAAGGAAAAAATGATTCTGAGCATAATGATTCTGTACTCAGAATAAAAAATGTAATAATATTGTAACGTTTACGCGTCACCGATGTCGAATATTCGCATCGACCAGGTGTTTCTGCAGCTTTACCTTGACGGACAGTAGAAATCTAAATAGGAGGTGAAAGGATCGAATGCATACATAGAAATGGGGTATACAACCGATTATAACCACGCCCCTGACCGATCGAGACCCATACTATGCAACAAAATTATTCTGCCGTGTTTGAATGTAGCACAAAAGAACGGAACGAGAGTCGTGAATAATTTATTGCTTTACTACGTTCACCGTGGTAATAACTGCAATTAAGCTAGGAACAACGAACCTTCTATTCAATCGACTTACAGCATTTTTACTCTCCTCATTTGCCAAGAGGATAGCCCTTGGTGAAATGAAATGAAACTGGAACAAAAACATCTACGACTCGTAATTATTAAAAAAGCAAAGAAAACAAACCTGTCTAACAAACGACACAGTAATAATATTCTGAGAGAATCTGGTACACAGCACCTGGGAACGTTAAGAGCGCATTTATCTCGACAAGCTGCGCATAGATAATAATTTACTAATCAACTTGTGCAAGATTTATACTCTTTCTGGAAAGGGCGCTAAAGGTAAACTGACGTGGCAGGAAACGTGCTCGAAGGACAAGTTTGTGCTCCGGAAATGCTGTGAGGCGTAATCGTGGTCGCGCACGTCCGCCACTTTCAAGAAGAAAATGGCAGGGGAGCACATATACTATACAACTCCTGAGCGATCGCGACCACCCCGGCGAATGCTCGAGGACTCGTGAACCTTTGAATTCCTCGAACGGTCATTAGGACAAAAATATACCTGTGTCTACGATCCTTCGTAGACCTGTTACCCTCGGACAATACCCGGCCCGACAAGTGTTTTCGTATCTGATTGACCCATCTTTGGACGGAACACTCCGACAAACGGCTAATTTTTCTTCGAGCTAACGACCTTCGTATACCTGACGTATCCTTCCCCCCTCTCTCTCTCTTGTTGTCTTTCTCTCTCACTTTCTTTGTCTTTTCGAGTGTCTCTGTTTCTCGCTGAAACGGAACATCTTTCACAGAATTGCAGAGTCACGCGAGCTCATTGGAAACGAATTCTCCTCGATCACTTACTCTCAGCCCTCTATTCTCGTCCTCTTTAGCTTCGACTTCTACACTTTTGCCCCTCCTTGGCCAATTATTTCTCTGAGATACTTATAAAAAAAATGAACGCATTCGAGACTCGCCATCCATATGTATACCTTTCTTTTTTTCCTTCTAGCGGTGTCTTGCGTGGGCGTTGATGTCTCCCTTCCGTCCATGTCGAATATTCAAGCTCCACTTTGGTGCGCATTAGTTGTCTTTTTCTTTGCCGTTTGGAATGAAGCCCAGTTGAATTTCTCTTCAACGATCGAACGTCGCGTGGAAATGCACAGGGGGAGTTCGTGTTCAATGCGAAACACGGTCCCGTAAACGTGGGCCCTAGCGCCGCGAGTAGCCGGATTCCAGGGAGTCGTCGTGTCCAGCGATACGAAAAAAAAACTTCTCGTTACACGCGGAGATATGACGGAAGCAGCTAAATGCTTAAACGCTCGAAACTCCAGGCTTAAATGCCGTTGATTGCAGTAGGAGGGAAATGAGAGGTTGCACGATGGACTCGTGTGTCTCGTAGCAAACGGAGCGCTGTTAAAGGCGGCCGCGGGTACCGGTTCGAGTCCTTCCTCGAATCGGCCGAATAGATGATCGCTCTCCATTCGATCATGCTCTCGACATCCATGCTCGTGTCTGGCCCGATTCCCGATTCGAAAGCTTCCCAGCAACGGTTCGATTGTTCGTGCCTTCGTTTACTTCGACGGTTAATCACCTTCTGTTTCTACGTCCCTCTTCGCGTTTATTACGCGTTGCATGAATAGATCCTCATATTTTTCGTGCACACTAATCTCCCATTGCTCTGTACAGCGAAGCAGAAAAAGATAGATCGATGGAAAGTAGATATTGTTAGACGATAAACTCGAATAAACGAACGAGGTGTCCATGCTAGGGATGTCTTTTTCCTTAGATCCAAACTGCCGCTAAATTGCAATAGTTCACTTGTAAACGGCCTGTTTAGCATATCTGCGACAGATCTTCGACGAGAAACAAACATTCCCCAGCTTTCGTCGCCTGTAAAAAATTGCTTTCGTTAAAGGAATTCAAAAGAATAGGGATGTAGGGCGATTTTCTCAATGCGCCAGAGGCTTCTTCGTCAACGTACCTGCGCGATATCGTTGTCCCTGGGGCACCGATGCTCTCGACGGTAGCATACAGACGATTACGATTTCGAATATACAGGACCAGCATTGCTTTGGTAGTCACGACGAGGGATGATCGGGCAGAAGGATACAGCGGAGGACGAATGGCCGAGGAAGCAGGGTCAGCAGAAATGGTGGGGACCTCGGAGGAGTCAGGGAGTCGGGGAAACGGGTGAAGGGCAGGAGTTGAAGGAAAAGAGGAAGAAAGAGAAAGAAAGAGACTGGGACCGAAGGTAGAGAGGCAACGGGGCACAGGTAAAACAAAAAGTTAGGAAAAAATTGAAAACCAGTCTCACGCGGTTGGTAGTTCGAAGTCTAGCCAGCTGCGGAGTGGACTCGCTCTCTTCTCCTTTTCCACCACCATCGCTATCAGTATAACCACCACCACTAGCGTGTTCGGAAACGACTTGACGGTAACAACTACGCCAGCGACTGCAGCAGCAGCAGCAGCAGCAGCACCACCACCACCACCACCACCACCACCACCACTGCCACCACCACTTCTTTCCCTTTCCGCTTCTCCGTTTCTCTCGGTCCACGTCCTTCCTTAATTCAGTCCAATGAGAGCCGCTCTTCGATTCGTCGCACACCGTCACAGATCGCTCCGCGTTGATTTTTCAGAGGATACACTTTTCTTCTCTTCCTTCGGGCCGCATCTTGCCACCAACCGTGTCCCCTCCGCGGAGCAGTACGCCGCGGTGATACCTTGGTTATCGTTCACCTCCCGTCCTTCGTCTTCTCCGACACAGGGATCGGAATTTCGCGAACCGGTTCGGAAACCGTGGACACGAGGAACAGCCAGAGGACTGATCAGTGGACCCCGGAGAAAGTGTCGACTTTTAGTGGCCAGCGAGTTTACCCAAGTGAATCCGTCCAGGACCCATCCGCAGGGTGATGTTCGCCATGGATAAATGAGGAAATCCTGGAATTCTCGTCACGCACAAGAGAACATCGCCGTTCCTACGATAATGATATACCTCATGGAGGAAATATGTCTCGCAGTAGTTGCAACGCGAACCGGTTGCGCGCTCTTAAAATAGTTCCCCGCGCATAGGTTTACCCGCTTTGCCCGCCCGCTCGCCCGCTGGAACCACGTCGTAGGACTAACAAGGTAAATATCGATCAATCTTCGACGTCTCTATTCGCAGCTTCTTTCGTCTATCGGTTGAGAATCGGAGAACGCTTCTCTGGATGTGTATTCGCGATGGCCTCGCCTTTGGGATTTATTATCTCATCGTGTGGCGAACGTTTTTCGCAACATCGCGATTCGATTCCTGGTAAATACGATGTCGATCGTTGGCTCAACCGAGGCCTGACAGCGTGCAACGGATTGTGTAACGTGGACGATATTGTAGAAGTTTGTGATTAAGAATGCCTAGGAGCATGTTTATACCGTGTTGAAAAAATCAAGATACCTAGTGGTGTGACTTGCGACGAAACGCCAGTGTGTTGTAACGATGTATGGAGAGCCTGAGGAATATCGGTGGCACGTTCAGCGAACACAACAATTGGCGAGTGCTTGTAAACAGAAATTATGAAATGAATATTCACACGTTATATAATTAGAGCAAGGTGCAGTGGTATTTTATACTTACAGAACACAATTGTCGGTGATTGAATACCAATGCTAGTCTTCACAGTTGTGATCTTTACACTGCTCTTCTGCATCCATACGTGTTCTATATAAAAAAAAACATTAAATCGATAAAAATCCGCCGACTCGTTTCCTGGGACTGATTCGTGTTAATTCGTCGTTCATGCAATATCTGTTTCTTAAGAAAAGTCTATCTTGTCTGCGTGCACGCATTTATAGTCAGCCATTTCACGATCGATCGAGAGCCCCCTTTTTCTATTACTTCCAAGAACGAGGAAGAGATCATACGCGAAAGTCATCTGCGCGAATGGGTGCCTGTTTGCCAAACGAATGACATTTTCAACTCAAGCAGTTGTTTGGTTTTGCATTTTCGATATTGCTTAGAAGTAAATCGGATAATGGTATTTTACGGCTACAAATTGCTGAACCCCTTGTCAATGATAACCTCTGTATGTTAAATTCGAAACGATTAGTGGTTCTTTTGAATAGAAATTCATCTTCGACAATGAAATATTCGAACGTATCGCTAATAGGCAATAAACGAGAGAAAAGTCTTTTGAAAGATGGGGAGCCTAGTCAAAGAACCGCAATCGAGAAGGTAAATATCACGAGACAGACGGAGTAGAACATCGAATGCGTTTACTACGACGCAATTGAACGAACTCGATTTACCTTTGAGGCAACGGAAGAAAGTGGGGAAGATGAAGTGTAGCAGGGGCGGGGGAGCAGAGAGACATTCGAAAGGCCCCCTCCGATGTTGACGCGAACGTAGGTAGACACCGCGGTGCCTTCCACGAAGCCGATTGCCGTTTGTTATTGAAGTTATTCCATCGCCTCGGGGCCAGAACAAGGCGAGGCTGTAAGCAAGCACGGTCTCTGTCCCTGGATGACGAGCGTTTACATTTCAATACAAGCTGGAATTTTTCTAAAACACGCTGGCCTCTAGTCTTACCGTGCACGCACTGTACGGCGGCGCCTCCATCGTGATTCCTCCGTTGCATAGGACATTCGCGGCATTTCAATTAGTCGTCTTCGTGGAATAAAAATTGCAATACGCTGCTCCGTTGGAAATCGCGTTGGTCTGTCTCCGTATCGAATGAAACCTTTGTTGAGACACCACAGATCGTTCCTCTTCACCAATATGTCGTTTCCTATTACGCGCCAATACAGCGTCAAGCTAACCTACTCGTCGCAAGACGCTTCTAAATCACTTACAGTCTTCGCTTGAAAGTTCAATCGTATTCAGTGAACTTCTCCGATTTTCAAGAATGCAAAACGTTTCCGAGTTGACTGTTGCACGGTTATACGTCGTGTAACACACAGTTTTGCACAGCAGCGACTCTTTTATCCAATGAACTAACCACACGAATCGAATTTTCCCGAAAGACCGTTATTTGACGTATCCACACCTGTTGCGACTTATCGAAATCGTCGTTATCGGCTGCTGGCTCTTATTCAGTTCGACGCAGTTTGGGGGGGGGGGGGGGGGGTTACGCCAGCTACAAAGGGACAACGGTCAACAATTACCCGAAGGAAGTCATCGTAAAACCGATCTATCCGGCCAGGTATTCATTTACGACTGCGCCTTTCGAACGTTAAAGTGGGGATTCCGCGTGAAAAACGAGGAGACTCTTAGGTCTCGATCCTGTTAGTCGGTAAAAGTGCGGTCAAACTGGCTAGGCGCCGAACGAAAAATCGCCGCACGGGGGGACAACGCAGTGAATTTTTATTCCAGAGGCTTTTTCCTTCGCGATGAGATCGTAAACTGTAGTGGCCAACTGTCGATGCGTTAACACTTGGTTCTTTAACACACAGAGGTAACGTTCGAATTGAATGTAATTTTTTTATCCGGATCAGCACGTGTAACGGGTCGTTGGAATGGAATTCCTATCCGATAATAATTCATTCGAAATGTCGTAGGACGTGATTATGCGGGATATAAATAGTTGTTTAATTGGCACGTTCGGAAAAGCTGTAATTATTACGCGCGCGTTCATTTTGCATCGAATTATCGTACTCCGCGTTGTTGCGGTCACCAGGTTTTCCTTCCCAGAATTCCATGCTTTACGGAACGGTATTTTAATCTCACTCGTCGCTAGCGGGCAATATTTTTCAGCATATTTTCGCATTTGCTTCATTATAATTTTCTGTTGGGCAACAGAAAATGAATCGTAAAGTATGTATCAACGATCGAAGCTCGCGTCGACACCGATAAAGTGTCTATAAAACGATTGGAATACACGGAGTCGCAGCAATAAGAATGTTCCGTGTACGCGGGAACTTAAAAATTCGTTCTTTTGGTACACATCCCTTCGTAACAACATCCTGACTCACGTTCATGAATATTCTTAATAACCTTAATCGAGCTTCATGGTCGTAATCAACGTACGCGATTCACGCTCTTTCGTAGACTCGCAACTTCTTGTTCCTTCGCGTCCTCCATCTGTCAGCAATAGAGCAGCGTATTGCAACCTTTTTTTTAGGTATCTACGTAATATAACAAATATTTCGTTAACCCATTCTTAATGTCCATTTGACACTGGTGTTCACAGGACATCATGACGAGTTGGAGCAGGACACTGTTCGTGGGCTTCATCGGAATCTTGTTTCTTGTGGCGACAAGGAACTACACCGAGGCCTGCAACGAGGCGATCTGCGCCAGTGTTGTGAGTAAATGTATGCTCACGCAGAGCTGCAAGTGCGACCTCGTTACCTGTACCTGTTGCAAGGAATGCTTCTCCTGCCTTAGTTATCTCTACGATGAGTGTTGTTCGTGCGTAGGTAAATATCTTTCTTTAAACAACTATTTCCCAGTATGTTTAAAACTATCCTCGTAATTATGTTTACATCCTGGTTTTCGTTACTCCGTAGACCTCTGTCCGAAACCGAACATCACGGACAATCCGTTGAGCAAAAAGTCGCACGTGGAGGATTTCAGCGAACCGATGCCAGGACTGTTCCAAGCATTGACCGCCGAGCCGGATCCGCATGAACGCTGGCTCACGTTTACATTTCCAGTGGACTTCGACATGTCTCTGTTCACGCCAAAGCACGAGAAAGAGATGAAGTACCATATGCGTGTGTATTCAATTTTGCCCTACCAATTACATTTTATACGCGATTACTCTTCGTGGACTCGATTGTGCTTATAAGCGATCGGTACTTTTCTTTTTACAGAGACCGCAGAAGAAGAGGTGCATCCGTTGAAGCCGAACGTGATGACGGTGAATTGCACGGTCGCGTTCATGGCTCAGTGTAACTCCTGGAACAAATGTCGGGCGTCCTGCCAAAGCATGGGTGCTACCAGTTACAGATGGTTCCACGACGGTTGTTGCGAGTGCATAGGTGATACTTGTATCAATTACGGAATCAACGAGTCGAGATGCATACACTGTCCGCTGGACAAAGAGGAGGACGAATTGAAAGAGCAGTACGACGACTACGGCCAGGACGATGACGATCTGGCCGACGACGAGATTGACTAAACGCCTCGCCTGACTTCACTTGGATACGCGGTATTCCTTCGAGTTTTCTGGAAGCGGGATATATTAGTGGTCGTGCCTATAGTGCGTGCTTTCCCGGTGACAATATTTTTTACGACAAAAAAAAAAGACAAATCGTGACTTCCTTTATCCTCGTTCGTAAAATTCATCGATTCGATGTTTTCATACGCGAAAGTTACTATACGGTGTCATGATCAAGGGACCGTTACGGAATGATTTTGCTAGAGGGTAAATGACAAGTGAGACGAATCAAAGCTCCCTTTAAAAGGGATTCACTCGTTAGGTGATGTAATTTAAATGATCACGGTTCAAGATGGCTTAAAGCCATCGACTGTCGATGCGTCTGATGGTATCACGACCATATTTAACCGATCAAACGCTAACGTAACAATGGCCGGATTTTAGTGCCCCCCCCCCCGAATTGACTGGTTTTTAGCGTGGCTGTAGCGGCATAGCGCGTTAAAGGTCATCGCTCGTTTTTAAATGTTAAATACGTATGTAAGTAGCCCTATAGCATCGAATGTTTTATTACTTTCCTGTGCCATATGAATAAAATTGTACATTTGTGGAATCGTTCTTGACTACCCACGCGTATCGTGCCTGCCGATTTTATAATGTCAATGGTGAACGTTGTCCATGTTCTTCGAACCTTCGTCCTCCTGTCCGAACATACGCGATCGCTCGAAAACGAATACGCGTCCATTGCAAGAAAAACAAAGAACGTGTGTACGATTGATGTCAAAAGAATAACAGGGGCATGCGGTTCAAAGGAGCATGGACAATGCGCACCGTTGTTGGTGTACATAATAATCAGGTCGGAGGGTGTGCGATTTATATGATATGGTTTAATACTGCACTTGGTTACGCCAATGCACAACATTGAGACAATACGAAGGATCGAACAGGTATATTTTCGACTTAATATCCGATTCATGCGGTTAAATGTAAATAAAACTATTAGTACATGTAGATACGTAAAATGCAAATACCGTTAGAGCTTTATGAACAGTGGATCCAGAGAGTGTCCACTATGAAAATAACGACGAGCAAATTCTCCCCCTGGAAATTATTGACAGACTAGAGAGGGGATACGGGATCGATATGGAATAATCATTCGTGGCTAGACTAGTGTAAATAATTCTTTCAAAAAATCGTTACTATAAAGTTTTCTAAATGGATCCACTTCGTGGTACCTTCCATCCCTCGAATGATTATGTAAATACCGATCTATCGCGCGATATACAAACACAATCGTTCAACTCTACTTTGTTATATTAATCATCAAATGCCGCGTTTTACGCGTTCCTTCAACGATCGCATACATTAATTCATATACGCACTATTAGCGCATGTTACTGTGTCACGCCTATAAATACGATGATACCGAACGATTTTAATCGTTCGCGTTGGTACGCACAGCGACAGTGTTCGGAAGGAAGCATAAATCGTTTCCCTGGGAATACCGAATATTTAGACAGGTGGGTGTTCGTCCTGTGTCTCGTTACTTTCTGGCAATTTAATGAAAGGCAAGTCGCTGCCGCTCCACATCGAGTATAACTGAGATCTCGCGCATTCCTGAAAGTAGCAAAGTTTCTAATGTACATACATAAATGTTCTGCAATCGCTCGTAAATCGATGCTAATATATGTGAAAACAGATAACACATCAGTTGTAATTATTTTAAACTGTAACCATGCATTACCCCACCACCAGCGCTCTCGGAACCTGAACGACTATGGGCTGATATGCAAGAATCTGTCGAAGAGCTGCTTTTACGAGACAGTAATATATCTACAGTACCTAACAAGAAAATCAAATGTCGTAGGTGATCGTTTTTATCTGTGACGCGTAATCTGTAATGCGTATATTTACCGAGTTCGACTTCTCTATGATCGCTATGCGAATGAATGCTATCTTTGCTGTCTGCGTGGCTACCAGTGGCTCCACTGGGTTCTACAACGAATACCATAAGCAATCGAGAAAATTGTAAGCAAATGATTATTATTATGTATCGAATCGTACCTGAATCCCTGTGCTCTCCACTGTGTGCACTTTGGTCACTTTCACGACGTCCGGACTGATCAGAGTGATCACTCGAATGAGAATCTTGCGGCCAACACCTCGATGAACCTACTTTACGAGATCCTGGCCAAATCATCGAGTCATAATTTGACTCAAAATTGCACGTTGTTAACGTATATGCCGATACTTGATTTAAAGGTCTAACTCCTATTTAAATATTGCAATAACTTAATATATAAATCATATGTGTATTGTAGAGTAAGTACTGAAAATCTATGGTCTGCATATACCTGGTTTGCAAGATAACAATTGAATTGCCTCTTGCAGGCCATCCTGACTTGCCATGGTAGATGTTTTCCATATTGTATCGGGTGTAGTGGACCTACTCCTGTCTTGATGAGGAACCCTTAATCTTGACCTGGCATCCTGCCTGGGCCAGTCTGTTATATTTCGGCAATCCCATGGCATAGACCACCTTCTCATTGTGTTTTCCGACACTTCACCTGACATTTCTGCAGCTGCTGTTTCAGACCACCTCCTCTGAACCTTTCCAGAAAATTACATAACTGTAGAAAGTTAGAGATGGAAATTATTTGTTTAAAGTACCAAAATTACCTGCAGAGGAAATAATGGATACGGTAAAGGTGATCTACGACAGTTCTGCACAGACTGTTGCATCGATGAAGAAGACACTGGTGGTGGTGAACTATATAATCTTTCAAAACACTGTTGAAGAGATGCAATGTTGCATTCGGCTGTGCCACTTTGTGAACAAGAGCATTCTGCCATTCCACCTACAAAATCAGTCCACTGTTAATTAATATACTTTGCACAAAATTGGATCTAACAAAGGAAAATATTTCTCACCTAGGCACTCACAGCAAGCAACACAAAATTGATATTGCAGATTTATGAAAGTTAATAGATTATCTCTAAGTATGTCCTAAAAATAATTTTGTATAATATACAGATATTAAACCTTTCTATACTTTCAGCTAGATTAAAATATTACATACATGTTTGTCTCTTTCATTATCTCGAGTTTCATGATCTTTCAAGGCAGAAATAATATGATTCTTGACAGTATTATTCGCTACATATGTTGCTCGTGTAAGTTCTTCCCAACCAGCAAGACACTGTCCAGTTAATCGACATTGTGCCACAGTATCATGAGCTGACAAAAGTGTTTGTAAAGACTGAGCCAACTTTGCACCGGCTGTGCATAAGCCATTGAGTGTCTAAATTGAATAAAATAATTTACTTTTGCATCTTTTACCTTAAAACTTATAAAAACCACACAAACCTGTAAATACACTAGCCAGTTACCAAGACACTCATTCACGTCTAATTGAAGTTTAGACACTTGATTGTCATTGGACTTTGGTTCTGTTCCACCTTCTGCCATATTTACATTCTTTTAAATCTGAGATTTTGTAGCAAGTTTAGTCACCTATTTATGTAAGAAAATATATACTTATATTTTCGTCCCTGTTGTCACCGACTAATTAAGAAAATTTGATACATAGAAATGTGTAAATAATAGAGAAAAACAAATCTATGATCATTAATTAATAGAAAATAAGGTACAGCAGCTATAAATACAATGATGAAGTGTTTGTATAATTTGTTTTATTACGGTGTACGAACTTCTGAAGATACGAAAATGCAATTTTTCTAACAGAAAGTATCACGAATCAGTCACTTACATGTTTTCTTGTTATTCGGTGTGTACTCGGCAATAAATTAAGGTAAAAAATAATAATCACAGATTTCGTGTTGGCATCGAAGCACAGCTACCGGCACCATCGTAACCCGGCTTGTGCATAACTCTCCACTCGAATCCAACGATGCAAAAAGCGAAATGAATCCAACGTACGCGGCAACGGTCATCTGTAGTTGTATCTTTCAACAGGAAATTTAATACGAAGTTTTTTGTCCAGATGCCGCCATTTGTACCCTTTCCGTATACCGGCGGTTAAAATAGTCGTTCATGTTCATTCGCGCTGTGACGCTGTGACTACCAGTGATTGTCTCAGAATCCTCAGAAGCATTAGCCGAAGTGGGACGACTCGATTACATCGTAATATTCAATTATTTATTAGGAGACATATACAGAGAAACTATACACGCAAACTATGATTATATATATCTTTTCCAATGGTGTCAAATTCGTTGTTGCATCTCTCCGAATCGGCGTTGTGATACTAGACAATTAATATCATGTTAATGACCTGAGAAAATGAATTTTCTCCAATTCAAAATTACTGCACCTGAATCTGTGGTTTCTATGCTTTCAATTTCGAAAAAATCTTTACTGGAAACTTTACAAATTAATTCATCCCAACATTTGCTCGAGGCTCACAGTCCTCGCAAAGATCAACCGTGATTTCTACTAGTAAATGCGTATGTAAGTTATTTTCATTTTTTAAATTATTTACTACTGAATTTTAATTCATATACTTCAATTTTTTTCACTAAACTCTTAAATCAAAGCATAAGGTACGTAGGTTAAGCTCTAATACTAAATGCGAATTGTAAAGAATAATGAGAACATTAACATTGCATTAACAGGTTAGCAGATTAGGCGTTTTGTCGTAGATGGCACTACGTGTCTTTTTGATCGTATTAATCATTATGTATAAAATATAAAATAATAATTGCGAACATTATAATTGAGAATTGTTTATGCACAGTGTCGAGTCAAGAGAATTTTGTTTTTCTATATTTTTAGTTATGTATCACTGTGATATTGCTATGTAATAGAGAGCTAAATCTTTTAAATTCACAAACAGTGAATCCCATGAGGTGCAACTGTTGCTCCATACTCCAACCAAGAGGAATATTATTATTCTATAAAGTTGATTAAGTAAATTTACGACTACAAATGACTGTAAATGGAATCAATTCAGTTATGATTGATCATAATAACTGGAGAAGTTTTTAGATGGCACGCTTGGCTCAAGTTGGCAGGATACAAGAAACAAGAAAGATATAACCTTACATTGCGCCCATTTTGGAACAGTCTATATTTTTAAGTATCAAGGTCGACTACTCCAATCAGTGACAGTAATCGTCTCGAAAATATGTAACAACGCTTATCTCATGATCTTCAATGACAATCCGAGTGGACGGTAAGCATTACACCCGTAAAACAGGAGCCATGACCTCCTTGTTTCATGCCATCTTACGCGACTTTTGGTTCTTAATTGCAATGTTGGCGATCATAAAGAATCGTCCCAGAAAACATATTTTCCAACGATCTTATCGAGAAACAGGAAGTAACCAAGTTTCAACGGATCATTAATTCGTATTGAACATTTACAGGATCAGTGTTACATATGGAACCAAAAATTAACACCAGGAGAACGTTCTCATAATTGATTCAAAGTATGTGTCCCCGCGTGAACTCGATTGCGGATTACTCGTCTTCTCGGCGATCGGTCAAATTGTGTACGATGTCTTTCGTTTCTTTGAGAAATCGAAACGAAGACACGAGACTCGCCGAGGTGAAAGGGGCCCGAGCCGTACCAGTGACGTAGGAGAGAGAGAGCTGATTAAAAAAGAAAAAGGACAGAGCAAACGGCGGAAAAGAAGAGATCGAGCGCGAGAGAAGGATAGGGAAGGATAAAGGTTGAAAGGAGAGGCGAAGCTGTGAGGCAGAGTTGGAAACGCGATCGCGCGCGAGGGACATCGTGACTCAGGTGGGGAGTACGATGTGGTAAGAGATAGAAGGGAGGGGCTTAACGGTAAAGTCGGTGTAACCTTATAGCAGTGTTTTTCAACCATTTTTTCCTGATACCACCCCGACGTTTAGATATCCTTTTGCGGTCTCCCTGGCTGCTACGTAAACAGGGGTGTTTCTTAATGTGTGTCGTTTGGGAGCCTAAGGAACAATGAAGAAGTCCCGTACACATGCCCGAAACCGCATTGAATTACAGCTTTCAATCCCAGCATATACGTACGGGAAACATACTCTTTGTGCGGATTCATGATATCCATTTAATTGAACGATAATCACGCTTGTACGCGTTTCACTTTAATCGGAGTGGTACACGCGATACGGATGAGAAGAAACACAGGGTATGCAGCCACTGTTGAATCCTCGCAACTGAATTCATCATCGAATTACCATTCACGGCGAGGTTTCATCGCGAACCACGAAATCCTCCGAAGATGTTGAGAAACAACTCTTCTAAATTGTAGCAGAGTTCTTGGCGAATTTCAGTCTGCGAAATCATTTACGGGGAGAACAGACAGTCCTCTGTAGAAGCGAGAAAAAAAACTTACCTTGTATGCAAGAGGAAACTTGTCCTGAAACCATTTAAAATGAATGATTGATAAATATGTATACGATATTTACTTTCTGCCTGTTAAGAAACGCGCCAGACTTGTCGAGAGGGAGAGCCGAGAAAAGAAAGGAAACTGGAGAATAGGAGCGCATCTAGATTCGGATTACGGAGCAAATTATAATCCATGAATCCGCCGAAGTATGCAAGACCGACGGTTTTTTTTAGTCGGCGAGGTTAATGACGAGGAAAATACGCTTTCGACGGCGGGCTCGTTTTTAAATCGCGTAACGGGCGAGAACAGAAAGAGAGAGAGTCTGTCGAGCAGGTGTCCACGGCACATCAAGAATGGGAATCACTGATTCGCGGCTGTTTCGAAGTCCGGGAACCATTTCGTCGTCACTGACCACGGCCGGTGGTTTTTTTGAAAGGAACGAGTCGACGGGTCCGTAGGCAGCTGACACGCGGGGACTTGACCATTTTCGTATGTTGCTTCTTCGGTGTGTACGGTGGATCAAGTAAGTTAAACGAGGCGCAAAAGGGGACATACTAACGAGGACGTAATATATGAAATAACGATGAATATTGGGATAAATGGAGGAAACATATTGTTCCTTCGAATTTCTATATATATCGACTAGTGTTGCTGTTAATTACCGTTTTAGGCAAAACGAATATACCAATTCGGTATCATTAACCACGTCTCCATAGACCCCAACAAGGCGGCCGTTTACGCACAAGGAAGCAATTAGCTAAATCAATCGTTCCCGCCGCGGAACTATTCCCTAATGCGTAACTTCTGTAAGCATGCTCGAGTAAAAGTTCTCGCAGCTACTCGATCGTATGCTAGTTGTCTTACCTTGAAAGCGTTACGGATATGCGTACGTTGCATAAAATCACGGTAGGCAATAAAAATGTACCTTGCTCGCAGGAGACAAGTATCCAATCTTTTCGATCTCGACATTCAACGCCGAAGCTGAAGATAATAGACGCTCAGATTTTTCTTGAAAAAGATTTACATACACAGATTTACAGATTTACAAACCCTGGCCTAATATTGTAAGGTGAACTTCCATTCGGAGAAGAATCTAACGTTACCGAGAAAGAAAAAAAAAACAGAAGAAGTGAAACAAAGGTGGTCGGGTGGTGTAAGACCACCTATTCTTGTTACCGGTCATAAGGCGAAAAGTCGAGAAGAACGTAGTCCAGCGTAGGTTCCCCTCGTGGTAGCCGGTTGGATGCACGGGCACATGCAGCAAGGTACAACACCGTACTTTCATAATGTCGAAGGAGTACAGGGGACCCCGAGGCCCGTGGCACTCGACGGACGGCTAGTGAAGGGAACGGATCGTCATACTCGGTCGATACTCGACCAAACGGCCAGCGAAAATGCCGTCCGCAAGTCGCGTTTAACGGTCGCTCTTCGGTGACAGGTGTGAATCGATAATTCCGTGAATCAGTTCCAAGTCACAGTAATATTTTTCTTTTTGTTAAACGGTTTCCCATTGAAGAACTCGAGGGACGTGTTTGACCTGTGGGAGGTACCACCGATCGGGACAAGAACAACGCTCTGAAAGTCATGAAGAGTCGAAGAGAGTATTACGACCGAACGCGAAATACCGCGAACAATTCTGAAATTGGCAAGAACGTCGAATGAATTAATGTAAGAAACCATGAAAGGACGATCGTTTTGTTCTCTGGATCGCATACGGTGACCAAAGACTTCGTGGTGGTGAGCAGTGCGAAAAAGAAGACGCTTCTTTGACTGTCCCTGGATCTCGTGTTTTCGCGGGATTTCGATCGTAAAACTTCGATGTGAAACATTTCGGTGTAAACAGTTGATGTTGGATTAACGAAGAAGTATATTACGCTGCTGAAACGAGTTTTCATCGGTGCCATACACACACACACACACACACACACACACCGAACAAAGGAACTTCTCGTGAAAGTTTCCGAGGTGCGCGATAAAGAGTGTTCTCCGGTAGCGAGTACGTGCTCATGGATGATCGCGGCCGAAGCTAGTGAATTTTCAATGTGATCCCGCCTCTCTTGTTCGAGGAGAGAAAACGTGATACATCCAGGATGACGCGACAGATTCTTCTATCCCTTTTGGGGATCCTCGTCGTGGGCGCAGAAGGTATGTATTTTTAAGCCATTCATCCAGCACTTTTCAAATGATCGGTTAATCGGGCCAACGGTTACTGGTGTCGCTTAGCTTCGTACGCGCCACGCTTCATTTGCCATACGTTTCATATGGGACGAGGAATTCGAGGAACGTCATTGATATTCCCAACACGCCATTGTATACGATTTTGAAATTATTATGGAAATACGAGCGTGAAACATTTGGACGCGTGCTTCGTGTCGGAACACGAACGTCTTTCTCTCTATCACGGTAAATAGGGAAAACGGTTCTTAGGAAGGAGAGAAGAGACTCTCTCCAGCATTAGTTGTTTTCTCGATTCTCGTTGAATACAAATCGGATGGATTTAGCGCGCGCCAATTCCGCGCGATACCTCCGAAGTCCGTTGAACCGGTACGCGTCAGTCGTCGACGTTCGCGACAGAAAGAGAGCAGAAACACGAGTCGAACAGATGCGACGAGGATTCGAGAGATGTTCGGAACGGTCCTTCGTTATTTTCCATCTGTTCCTCCTTTGGGATTTTGTCACCGACGTCTAAGGAAAGGCATACACAAGCTGCGCAAAACAGGTACCGCCCACTCGGTTTCTCGTCCACGCGGATTTTCTGGTGTCTCGAGGTCACCCGGTGTGTATCCGCCTCGAATGAAACGCACAGGTTCCTCTCGCTTTGTGTTTTCGCCTGGTCCAACCGAAATCCTTGCGAATTCCATCCTGATTGTTGTTATTTTTTTATTTTTTCATCTCTTTTTCCCCGAACGAAAAACCACCACGCTGGGTATTTTATGCAAGTTATTTTCGTCCAAGGACAATAGAGTCGACTGCGATCACAATAGTTGCGCACAGTCGACCGTTGAAGCTTTTTCGACCGAACGGGACAGCTGCGATTCGGCAAATCGGCGAACCGTACGAAAGAAGTGTACTTGCTCGTCGAGCGTGCAAGCCGGAAATAGGGTGAATTCGCGACTGGTTCGATCATTTTCTGGCCCGGTTTCCCCGTCGCTGTAGGCCATAATCGGTACGATCCAATTTCGTGTTTCCCTCGACCGACTTCGTTTTTTTTTTTCAGTTACCCTCAGAGTTTAATTTAAATGAAACTGGTCGTGCAACATACGTACATACAGGAGGGGAACAGGACACGCCGGTCGAGGCGAGTCGATCGAGGCGAGTTTTGCGTCTTGTAACTCTTATTCTCCTAGTTGACCTACAATGAAACACCTTGATAGCGTTCGACACTGTGTGTTCCTGCGTACCGTATTGCACATAATATTATCTTCGCGGTAATTTCCATCGAACCAGTTCGAATATACAATTAACTCGACGGGAAACACGTGGACTGACAGCGATCACTTTCTTGTGACACTGTTCTTTCATTTTTTTTTTTTTTTCACAGGTCGATTATTAGTTTTCTCGTGTCATGCGTGAAATATACTTTCGATTCTTTGGTCCTGTACACGAATTAATAAATACTTCCTAAACCGCACGCGGCCCATTTACGTCATCGGAGACACGTAAACCGCACAGTCCTTTCCTTGGCAACTAACGCGCTTGGCTCGAACTTTCATTCGCGCTGGGTAAAAACGCGTAGGAAGGACGTATCTTTGGCGTTAGGGTAATTACAACTAGAAAATGATACCTTTGTGGATGATAATTGTTCTAGTGTGTTGCGTTGGGTATGAAGTTACTTTCTACTCGAGTATATACCTACCAATGAAAGGGGATGGCGTGTAAGGAAGGTCAGCCAACTATTCATTAAAACCATCATTCCTAGGTAATGGTGATTAAAACACCTTCTCAATCAACTTCGAATAGTAAGATCTAATTATCGTCTGAGTACGCTTTTCTTCAAGATTCTTCTCATGAGATTTCGTACATTTTGCGATCTCCAACTTTAGACGAGATCTACGAATATCATATATTATACAGGGTGTCCCATTTAAATCGACCCATACAAATATCTCCGAAACTGTCAACGGTATTAAAAAATGTTTCAGACAAAAGTTGAATGGTATCAGGGAACACACTTTCTGACACTTCTAGACACATAGAGGTCGTACGAAGGTCAACTTTGTTTTTTCAAATGGAATCCTATATTTTTTAATGCACTACTTGGTGCTACACCGTATTCCCTACATAAAGTACTAAGTAGCATAACAAAATATACAATTCCATGTAAAAAAAAAAAACAAAGTTGACCTTCATATGACCTCTACGGTTTTACACAGAAAAAAGTTGCATCAGAAAGTGTGCCCTCTGATACCATTTAACTTCTGAAACTGTGTGCTCCATGAACCTCGAGCCACGGGAGACGTCGAACGCGATGACAGAAGCGGCAAGAACTGTTCCATCCAGGCGTTGTTTCCACGGTAACCTCGTGCATAGAGTGGTCAGCGAAACGATCGTTGCCGGGGAATCGTAAATACATAAGATATACGTGTGGGAGAGGCCAGTTCGCACGGGTCTTACCGATCCAATTCCAGGGACTCGTGCAAAGTGTTCCACAGAGGGGTTGGGGCCTTGGATCGATTCACATGTCGAATGGCCAGTGTAACGCGTCGAAGTCTCGAGCCGTTAACGGTGGGGAAGTAAAAGCGTCCTCGAGATTCTAGGTGAACGCTTTTCTTTCCTTCTCGCGAAATAGGAAGCGTGTCGAACCGCGAGCACGACTCACGTTTCCATCGAGCCGCGGCTGAGACGGTCGTAACATTTAGCCGGTCGGGCTCTGGGTCTGGCTAGACTTGTCTGAAGCACGCGAAACACTCGCGAGATAACCTACGTCGCTCGGTGAACGCAACTCCACGTGGGTGGGGCACATTCGCGACTCCACGCCCGACGCAGGTGAAATTTCGAGCGCCACTTCCTTCCATCCGATACGATTCGCGATCAAGATGCACGACCGATCGTCTGTATTTTCGTCATGTTCTCGGGACGTAATTCATTGCGCAATGAAGTGAGTCCACTCTCCTTATGGAACGTTCTCGAGAGTTTCGCGTGGTCACGTGGTACAGGTTAGAGGGTAATACAGTGGGCCATCGATGAGTGTTCGAAGGCTCCTCGGCGCTACCAAAGGTGTAACGTTGATTTTTTAATCGAGCTTGGAATTCTGAAGCCAATTATGTTTGGTTCAGTCGCGTATGGCCATTAGTTTATGAAATATTTAATGTTCAGTACCTAGATGCTTCGAACTCTCATCCAGAAATCACTGTGGTAACTTTCAAACGCGGTCGAGAAATCCATAGCTGGATCTACGATTAATGAGAAATTTTGGTCGTGTAGCTTTGTACCACCCTGTACCTGTCAACGCTAAAGGACAATCGCACGAAAGTATACACCTTTCACGGTGGGATTTTCATTTCCTGACGCGTTTGCAAGGTGTCGCAAGTCATCGTCGATCCCGACGACAGACACACACGCTCCCGGTAGCCACGTGCTTTCCTACCTTGCAACGTATGCAAGTTACAATGGAGGGATTAGGAAACTCACGACAGAGGAACTCTCCGTGCCCGCGACGTTTCAACGTGGCCGACACGGCCGAGCACACCTCCCGATGATTCCTTTCTATAAACGCCGGTACTATTTCAAATTGGTGGTTTAAGTAGCACGAATTCCGAACGTGCATCTTCCGTCGCTTCGACTCCTCTTCGTAGAAGAGAACACGACGACGCTCGGCGAAGACCGTTAACCGGTTCCCCTGGTGCCCTACTCGTAACTCAGACCGGAGGCGGGTAGTAAAATTCGCTCTCGGTGTGTCGTATTTACGTAAACGCGATAACACACGTAATATCGGCCGTTACGATCGGCATTCTTTTTGCCTTTCTTCTGCACGATCACGCCGGAAATTGTGCTACCGCGGGAAAAAAAAGGAGCGTTATCGATCTCGTCTCTCGACTCTGTCCACGAAACAGCTGACGATCGGGCTTAAGTAGATCCCTTCGTTATTATAAATTGGCCACAAAAAAAAAAAAACAGAAGCGAATGGAACTCGGATGAAAAACATTTCGAATCGAATCGATCTTTCAATAACCAACGATTATATATCCTTGACGATCGATCTCTCCTTTGCTTTTTTTTTTTTGGTTTCTTGCGGGACAGATCGCAGCCAGGCACGCCCACTTTCCAACTTCCTGTACAATCGCTTTTGTACTCCGCGATATTACACCGGGCAGATTCGAGCCGTACACGTGCCTAGAACGTGAACGCGATCGTGTATCAAGGGAGACACCGATTATTGCAAAAGATATTCCGCGTCTACGAACGGACCACCATTCTATTTTCGATGCCGCTTCGAACGCGTCGGGTCAGTCGATCGAAAGGTAGTGTGGCGACGCTCGACGGGTGTTGATCACCTCCAAATAAAATTGGTCTGCGCGTCACGGACCGACCAACCGGTACTATCTTCGTTATTGTTCCCTGAAAACGGTCCGTAGCCAGACACGATCGAAAAATACATCGGCCAGAAATGATCGAGTAATTATTTTTCCGCCTCGTTGAACATGTAGCACTTGTTTTGAAAAAAAAATATATATGGGTAACACGAACTAACATCGGCTGATTGGGAAAAAGGAACGAATTCTGTTCGGTGAGAATTAAAGAGCCACGTTTTCCTGGAACGACTCTAAGGAGGGTACCAGAAAAATGGCGATAAACCAAGAACTGTACCGTGACACGGTTCACCGGTAGTACTCCCGACCCCGAAGTAGCTCCATGTCGTACCGTTATTTCGGCTTTAAAGTTTTGTAACCGCGTGACCCAGACCCACGAAGCGATCAGCGAATGCCAAAGGACTCGAGGCTAAAGACTAGCTTACGTATACGCGCGCGTACGCACACAGGGAGACCCGCAACCGCGGAATTTCTGTCCACCTCGTCTACGCCAGCTCTGGATCGGCTTCGTCTGAGTTTTTCGCGGTAAATCGTCTCGTTCAGTCTTTCCAGCACTCCTTTCCATGTAGCTTCGTCGAGGCAGACTGCGTTCATACCTATAAATATCATGTTTCAATAACACATTTCTTCTAACCCCGTACAGAATCAAAGCGCTCCTCGTGAACTACATTCAAACAGATCCTGGATCGAGTACAATTCAACGGAATACGATAAGAAATGTCTTGTAAGGATTTTTCTTATCTTAACCGATAAAATTCTTCTGAAATACTTGAAAGCAATTAGAGTTCTGTGAGTTTCTATTGAATTTGCAACAATGCGCAATAAGTATTTAAATTCCGTCAAATAAAAAAGATAAAAAATAATGTCTTCTTTTAACGATAAACATTCAAATGCACATTCAAATTTGTGGTATACCAAAAAATCAGAAGGAACTATTATATACTCACAGATAGAAAAAGTCATAAGAAATTAATATTTTATTTTATAATATAAAATACGTAGCCATATCGTAACACTGGGACCAAAAGGGTTAACTACGATACATTGGTTGACGAGTTAGATGAAGCTTTAAAAAATTCTTGATTTTTCTCTGTGCCTTTACGCCAATTCACGAAATTTCATTCGAATCCACGAAGTTCTGTAGGCTAATCATTAATGTAGTCACGACGAAAGTTTACCGACCGTGCTTAAACCGTAATTTCCTCCTGAATAATTTATCCTGGCGATTCTTAATGCAAGGTGAAACCATCATATTAATTACACAGAGAGAATGAGCCGCGTTGGAGGCGGCGCATGAACGCACTCTGAAACAGTCTTTGCGAATCGAAGTGTAATTTACGCGTGGTTTCGGTACCACACGCGCTGTGAACGCGTTTGCGCGCGGTTTAATTAACTCGTTCGCACGAGAACGGTAACACGGCGTGTCCCACGAGAAAATAGGAGGTCTCCGGAGAGTTCGAACCGTCTAAAAGAAACAACGGAAGCTTTCACCCCGGCGCGACTCAATGAGCAGACTCTCTCGTATATTTAAATTAACGGTGGTTCTCTCTCCCAGCTGGCGGGCTCGGAAGGATTACTCGTGCACAAACAGAACAAGGGGGAAAAAAATGTAAATTGCAATCGTTAAGATCGTCGACGCGAAAATCAAAGGCCATCTGGAGGCGATCGGCCTTGAAGCGACCACCGGAAACGTGTTGATCCGCTAGCCGAGAGACCACCGTTCACCTCTAATCGCTTGGAAGATTTTATCGCCTTCTCTCCCGGTACCCTCGACGAGAGCTTCACGTGGTACCATCGTTGCCTACTTCCATCTTGATCGACGTCCTTGCATCCCAATAATCGGCTTCCTCTACGGGAAAAGTGAGGTAGGCGAAGAGTCTGCTTCCATTTAATTTTGGAAGTTATTGAAATTTATGGAAAATTAACATTCGGTTTAACATTTGTTTTCAGTAGTTGAAATAAATTTACCAAGTGGTTTACCATTTTCCCCTAGTGGAAGTCGAGATTCTAGAACTCGGGCTCGGGGGAACCAGTCCTTGGTTCATAAATTTGTCAAGCTGACTCCTCTGAATGAAGCAAAATGCAAAGATACGACCGAAGGAAACCTGAAATGTCCCACGTTTCGTTGATGTGATCAGCATTGCAAAAGGATGAAATAAAAGCGTAGGTCTGCGGTCGATATCCCCTAGAAATGTAAAAGGAACAAATGAATATATATGTACATATTATTTTTCGCGGTTGTAAAGAGGCTCCGCCGTTTCTACGCTCTCACCGGAACCCTCTGCACGACGAGATTATAAGGCGCTTGCTCCTATATGCTCGTTGATTTCCATTGGATTCGAACCGGCGCTGGTCTTTTCACTCGGAGAAAAAGTTTCTCAAGCAGCGTGTACACACGTCGATGCCCATTTCGCGTGCAAAGAACTCTCATCGTGACTCCTATGGCTTTATGGCTATCCTGTGCTCGACCCACTAATTTCAATCCTTTCCCGTACGATGGAAAAAATCCACCATAATGTATACAACTAATTTCTCGAGTCGTGGAGCTTCGAATAATAGGACACGCGTGTGACTTTTGCCCAAGGTTTCTCCTCGGCCGATGTCGCGTTCATCGTTCGATTTACTTTTATAGCGACCTATAGACGAAAGACGGGAGACCGAGCGTTGTCGGAGAACGTCAGCCGGTACCCTTGACACGTCGCTACCGCTTAACGACAGGTGCTCGTTTGCGCAACGGAAGTCGTGAAAAATGAAGTGGGAAAGGGGAAACGTGTTAATTGCCGCCTAATCAGGAATTCCTCTATTCGTATTATTGTACCTACGGTTGAAATTACAGAGACAACCTTCTCCCTCGAATTTAGGTGATTTCACAAGCTTTGCCACACGCTTAATTGCTCGACAGTTGGTAGATAGCTGTTCTCTGGATGGTTTCCTTGAAATGGCTACCGCAGAGGTCGTAAAAGTTCTTGTGTCGGTAGCCCGATAGATGAATTTCTTTTTCCGCTCGGAGATGCAGAAGCCTGATTCCATTTTGTCTCGGGATAATACGGTATTCGCGGTAAATGGCACGTTACGGGGGTACCATTAAAATACTACCACAACGCCGAACTATCAAACGTGGTTAATGAATTCGTGCTGGTCCGTAGCAGACGAACGCTACTTTCGAAGCGTCACGACTGAGCGACGTAATTTTCTTTGAATACAGGATTGAAGTGCGGTCATCCAGCGGTGCCGATGAACGCCAAAGTGTCGTTGTCCGATGAATCGTTGGAGACCGGCAGTTCGGCGACGTACACGTGCGACACTGGATACGAATTATTCGGGTGAGTCTAATTAACGCCTCGGCGATATATGCATGCTCCGAACGCTAGAATCTTCTAACTGTTCACGAACGGCGAGAGATAAGTACTAAGCAATTTCCAAATATATTACGAAGTCTGCCATTAATTTAATCATCGCGAACCGTTACTCTCGAAATCGATAAGCGGCCAAAGATCTCGGCAGAGTGAGTCACGTAATTGGGACAGCTCATCGTTAGACGGTATAAAAATCGTAGGGGCAAAAGAATGAAAATTCAAGTGGAATTGATTTTCGTAGAAACGTGTTTCGTTTGTACACGCAACGGTGCATCTGAATCGTGCTGTTGCAGGTTTCACTATTAAAGTTGCATTTCTTTTTTTGCGAATCGATTCTTATTTTTTTTTAAGTTAACGAAAAATGAATATGGTTGTTGAGTTAGATTTATCAGATTTACTCATGAGCAGTCGTAATTCAAAGTTTGGAAAAGTATCGAATACACCCTGTATAACGTAATCACAGTTTCAATACATTTCTGACATCGGTAACAGGTAAAATTTCTTTTCCTCTCGAGACACACATAAGGAACGCGCGCGAGTCTCAACCGAGCGAGACGATCGTTTGTGTAGCAGGACGGTGCTCGATATCACCGGTTATTTACCGGGGCTTTCTCCCGTTAATTCGTATGATAGACGGATATTTGCTCGCGTGCGTCCACGTTCCTCCGATCTCTCGTCGCGCATCGTTTACAGCGGAACCAAAGTATCCCGATTATTTCATCCGACGATCGATTGTTTAGCAGCGGCAGTCTGACGTGCAACGCCCGAGGAAAATGGCAGGGGGACCTACCATTCTGCGGTAAGCAACCAGTCATCTCACTTTTGCATCGAACGAAATTCACCGGGTCCTGAATCGTTCGTCGCGCATCGCGATTCGATCGCACGCGTCTTCCTTGACAACGAGATCGTTACGCGGCTTTCTCCTCGATGCTCGTCCAGAAGGGGGAACTGTTTCGTATGGAGGAAACCCGTGCATTTCGCGATCGAAGAAATTCCACTACGTTCCCTCTTAAAATGCGACACGCTGTTGTCCCTCTTCTCGCGCGCCCGTCCGATAGAAAGCGATTTCGCGTGTACGGCATAACGCAACTGAAATGTACATCGACCTTTTGCTCCCGATACCTATCCGTTTTCGCTTTTTTTTTTCCTTCTTTATTTCCTTACTCTGGACAGACAGAAAAGAAAAGTTCCACTTTTACTCGTGGACAGAATTCATCGGCGAGACAGACCGTGGGGAGAGTTCGGGTATAAAACAGCGTTATGCAATCGAGGATATTCCGTTCGGTGACAGTCCTTCTGCTGAAACTGCAATGGCAGCGCCACCCGGTAACCGCTGCCAGCGGAAATCATTTTGAACGTGCTTGTCGCTGGGAACGCGGAAAACCGTAGAAACCGGAAGATTCTGAAACCACGAAGTATGCACGAGACCCGAGTGAAACCGGCTGCGACAACGGATAATCGTTTTTCTCTGTTACTTAAACGCATCCTGCCGGTAATGGCCGTTTTGTTGCCGCCTCTCGTTGTCCAGCGAACACCTTTCCTCTCGACGCTTCGTTCGGTTCCGAGCAATTTGCCCCGCCGCGGTCCGTTTCGAAACCGAAGATGCTTTTTCTTTATGCCTTGCGCGCTGCCGTGACGTTGATACGCTGATGCATAGAAAATCGGCACACAGGTACGAACGTTGCTTTCCGGAAACCGACGAACCAATCGACGACTGTTCGAGGGGGCGACGCCAGCCACGGGAACGACGGTGACTCGAGCACGGAGCACGACGGGAAACGGTGCACGGAGACTCAAAGCGAGCCAAGCCCGTGGTGGAAGGTCGATCTTCTGAGGTCGTACTCGGTAAAGGTCGTCAGAGTAACGACCAGGGGTTGCTGCGGTAAATTTATCTTTAGTTTCATTGCGATTTTCATGCACGTTCGATTAAGGGACACTCGAGTAGCGAAGGTACAGTGGACTCTAATTATATTGCCACGCGAAGTACTTCCTCTGCAGGCGTACTTTCGAGCACACAGCTTTTGCGCAGACACGACAGCTATGACGACAGAACTTATTTTACTCCCCTACAGCCCCGGCCATGGCAATATAGTAAGAGTCCATTGTAATTAGGAAGCTTGTTAATCCACCCGAAAGCCGATACAGTTACCAGACTCTCGATTAGCTTCGTTTACGAGGTGTTATGTGTCCCTTAATCCTTTTAACGGAGCTCAAGCTGTGTCGAATCGAAATTGGAAAAGTTCTCTCGTTCGCGATAGGTCACCAACCTCTTCAGGACATCGAGATACGCGTCGGTAACAGTAGCGTGGAGCTGCAACGGAACCCACTGTGCGCCTGGTTTCCTGGCACGATCGGTAAGCAGCGGTTAGAGAGCGATTAACCCTCGGAGGACGGATTGTTTTAATAATAATAATTTATTTAACGGAGAAAACCCGTCTTATTTCCCGTTAAAACTGTGTACGATCGTGGATCTGTCACTGAACGAGCAATTGGCACTTACAGAGGAAGGAATCACGAAGACATTTGTGTGCGCGAGGGCGTTGATCGGGCAGTACGTGTTCCTACAGCTGGTCGGGGTCGAGGGAAGCTTGAGCCTCTGCGAGGTGGAGGTGTTCGCCGTGGACGGTAAGTCGAGAGTTCAAGAGCGTGAACGATCTCTGGCAGCCTGTCAAATAAATTCCTGTAGAGTAGTTCTACCCGATTTTTCGCAGAGTTCTCGACGGACAGGTGCGCCTATTCCGGGACGCCGGCCGACGCCGATCTGGCCGCCTTCAATTCCACCTGTTACGAGTTCGTGGTGAAGAAGGGCGGCTCGTTTCTGGAAGCACGAAACTACTGCCGCACGAGGGGCGGTGATCTCCTTCACGGCTTCAAGGTTTCTTTATTTTCATAGAATTATTCGTTTACGAGAATTCCTTAACCCGTTCCCAATGTTTTTTATTATAAATTGCAAAATAAAAAATTAGTATCGTGCATTTTTTTATATCTCTGAGTATACAATTGTTTCGTCAAGTCTTGTATAGATGATATGACAAAAGTTTTGATATACATTTAACAGATTATCACTGAAATAAGATATTATTTTCCTTTGATTCTTTCATTTGCTGGAATTCAAGTGATGACAATAGAATACAAGCTCATGAGGTCTTAATTTCTTTGCAGTATGGAGTAAAGATGGAAGTAAAGAATTTTCCAAATGGCATTAAACGCTTAAAAATTGCTAAGTAATTCATACCAAAATACGGATAAACTTTTTGTTCGTAATTGTGAAATAGTTTGGGAATGAAAGGGTTAAGTTTCGCATTCCCATAATAGAAAGTTACAAGTGACGTACAGGCGTAAACACGAGTGTTCCGATCGTGGTTGCACTTGACGATAACTTTTTCTTTCGGACTGCTTTTTTTCTGGAACATTTATTCACGTACCACTTACAGGGATCATCGTCGATATACATACTGAACAATCTCGAGAGACGAAAAGACAAGTTGAAAACGCAGCTGGTTTGGATAGGGGCGCAAAAGGAGCCAGTGATCACCGCGCGAACCTGGCGATGGGTCGACGGTGAGTATTTCGCGACCGCCTATCTCCATCGATTTTTTTCGTGGTTTATCCATCTATTATCCGTAGACACCGAGTCAACAGACTTTTTTCTTTCCCTTCTCACGATCTATCGACAACGTTCATGGGAACCGGGTCGGGTAGCCGTGGTTGGGCAACAGTCGTTCGAGTATTCGACAACCCGAACCGATCAATTTGTCTGGCAATTACACAATAATTACAGTTCCGTCTGCCCCTCGAATTCATTTAACCCACCCCGTACAGTTTGCAAAATTGGTGCGGCCCATCGAACGCCTGCGAAATCGAAGTTCGACTCGGCGTGGCTGCTAGCACGACTGTCGGCGCAATCGCACGCGCTAATAAATAGAACGTGAAAGTTGCCACTGTGAGGAAATCAAACGGGAAGTTACACCCGCGAACGTCTGCTCGAACGTGTAATCTCTGCTAATCGTTTGTTGCGTCTGGATCGGCCAGACGAAAAGATTACGCGGTTTCGATCGCGGAACTCCTTCGGGAGTGTGTGAAGGATCCTCTTGGATCGTCCCCGGTACATTAAAATGTATTTTCAGGCGAGATTGTGCAGAAACCTTCCTGGGGAAAGGATCAACCGAACAACTATAACGGCGAGCAAAATTGCGTGGTATTGGACGGCGGCCGTGGTTGGCTTTGGAATGACGTCGGTTGCAACCTTGACTACCTGCACTGGATTTGTCAAAGCAGTAAGTGTATACGCTTACAAAAGAACAGGATCGGTACATTTTACTGCAAGCAAAAACTTTCTCACCCTTCGTGTCGTAATATCGTTCCAGATCCACCTACATGCGGTAGCCCAGAAAAATCGGAAAACACCACGATAGTCGGGACGAAGAGGGCCATTGGATCGACGATAGACTACGTTTGCCCCGATGGATACATGCTGATCGGCACGAAGAGCCGAACGTGCGATCCCAGCGGGTTTTGGAGCGGTGTGCCTCCCACCTGCAAATGTAAGCGTTAATCGAGTGCCGTAAGTCGATGCGCGTATCGCATAATTACCGGTCGCGACGAGGATGCAGCTGGTAATTCGCAATCGTCTGACGTATGATCAACGTGTCACGCTGTTTTAATTGTTCCCCAGTCGTCGACTGCGGTCCTCTGCCGGAGCTGGAGAACGGCGCGATCACTCTGGTCGATAAACGAACGACGCACGGGGCGCTCGCCGATTACGCCTGCAAGGAAAATTACACGTTGCTCGGCGACGCCAGACGTAGATGCGGTGACGGCGGTATTTGGAGTGGACATAAACCCCAATGCTTATGTACGGAACAAGCGTAAATGGTTAGCTGACGATCACACCTGGGGGATGCTTACCCGTTCGTTTGTTTTCCAGTCGATTGGTGCCCGGAACCGCCGCAGGTGAACGGTGGAGTGGTGACGATTACCGGAAGACGAACTGGTTCGACCGCCACGTATTCGTGTCAGAACGGATTCATTTTATTCGGAGACAATGTAAATATTCTTCAACATAATCCAATTGTTTCCTTCAATTTATTTCCTCTGGTTCGTTATGCCCGTGGCGCAATAGCATTCTCGAGGGGTAAATGTATACGTCTACGATTTCGCTGCGATTACCATCGGTATTATTTTGCGCCCACGGTTCACAGGGGATAAGTTTACGAAACTCGTTTATTTGTACAGTCACGCCGCGAATAAAATGTTAAATAATGTTAACGGGTGGAAATCGATTACAATAGGTTCTTACGTGCGATGTCGGCGGAGCGTGGTCCGGCAAGGCGCCCCAATGCCGTTTCGTCGACTGCGGCGCACCGGCCCAAATCGAATTCGGCACCGTGTCCTTAATTAACGGCACCACCACGGTTAAGAGCTTGGCGGTGTACACGTGTCTGGAGGATTACTGGCTGGTCGGCGAGGCGAAACAGGAATGCACCAAAGAAGGGAAATGGAGCCACGACACGCCGTCCTGCGAATGTAAGTAAGATTCGATCCCTGAGTCTAGGTCGATGTAAGCAATGTATGATAATAAACTAGGTATATATGACAGGTTGTTCAATTGTAAAGGTCCATTTACACGGTCAAATAATTTTCCCAAACTGACGTGTGCATTCACATTTGCACAAGCAAATATTCGGTACTTTCACCAATTTTTAATTAAAAACCATTAGCCGGTTTGCGCAAATTATGTGAACGTGTAGATAGGCCTTTAGACGATTAAACTAAATTTTCAAATGCAGTGATCACCTGCGAAGAGCCCGATGTACCAACAGGAAGCTACGTAGTGGGATACGATCTGAACGTCCACAGTGCCATCGAATACCACTGCGAGGCGGGATATCTGCTTCAAGGCGGAGCCAGACACACATGTGGCAAGGACGGAGAGTGGTCCGGCGAAGTGCCGAGCTGCGAATGTAAGCACGTTCGTCGAGTTCTATTCACGGAAAGAAACAATACCTCTGTTTGCGTAAAAGACCCTATTATCAGCATGTTCTTTCTTCCATTTGCAACATAATGGTCGACAAGAATCTATATGTAAATATGAAGATCCTTCGAGATCGATACTTGCGACGATAATAAGGCCCGTATGTGTTTCAGACGTCGACTGCGGGAAGGTTTTGCCAGTTCTGAACGGAGCCGTGGAATACGCGAACGGGACGACTCATCTGGGAAGCGAAATCACGTACAGTTGCACAAGGAACTACAGACTGAACGGAGTGTCGAGGAGATATTGCTTGGACAATGGTCAATGGAGCGACGCGACACCAAAGTGCGAAGGTAACTGGACATTTAAACCATTATGTCCGTCTTGTGTTCGTGCCAAGTGTACCAATAGGAAACACGTTACAGAAATTCGTTGCCCGGAACCCGTGTACGCGGAACACGGAATTCTCTCGGTGACTGGGAACGATAGGATGTATGGTAGAACGTTGATTCGTACTGGAACTCCAGAGAACTCGAATACTGGCGCAACTTCGTACAAGATTAGCGCTCTGGCTAAATACCGTTGCGAAAGGGGGTACAAGGTGGTCGGGGAGCCTCTGTCCACGTGCGAGGACAATGGAAAGTGGAGCGGCGAAGTGCCGCGATGCGTCTGTAAGAAACTCAAAGTGTTCCCGTTGTTTGAACAGTTGGAAAGTTGGGCTATGTTGGAAATTATTCATTTCTTTGCAGACGTCGATTGCAGCAAGCCGGAGCAAATTCAACACGGGAAATATACTCTGACGTCGAATGCAACCTATTACGGAGCAGCTGCGCTTTACGAGTGCGACGGTAACTTCGAGCTAGATGGATTCGCCAGAAGATTGTGCCTCGAGAACGGCACGTGGAGCAGCGATACTCCGGTTTGTAAAGGTAGTTATCCGAGCAAGAGTTCAGTTTTAAATAGTTTCGATGCAACTGTTCAGAAAAAAAAAAGTTGTGCTGTCCCCTTACGTATTATTGTTTTTGTGTGACGAAGAAATCAGGTGCAAGGATCCTGAGAAAGATGGAGTACTGTCCACGCAAGTTTCGACGCACAGCGTGGGCGGCATAGCTCACTACAATTGTCCACGTGGATACTACATGGAGGGAAACGAAACCAGAGTGTGCTTGCAGAATGGATCTTGGAGCGGAAGCATCCCTGCTTGTTTCTGTAAATATACATTACCATTTTGTATTTTACGGGTGACCGTAAACATCTTTTCGCGCTATTGTAAATACATGAGAAAATCATGACCAATAGCCGTCGACTGCAAACATCCGGGACCCATAGAGAACGGACGAGTGATTGTGGTGAATGGGACCACAACGTATGGCGGGACCGCAGAGTATCATTGTCTGCCGCAATACGAGAGGGTCGGCCCGTTTCTAAGAAAATGTTTGGATACCGGATCTTGGAGCGGAGATGAGCCGAAGTGCGAGTGTTAGTGTCATTTTTAAGCACTTGGAAAGCTTTATGGAGCGTGCACCGTATACATTTACTTTATGTATGTTCGACAGTTATGCCGAACGAAGTGGCGGAAGCGCAAGGCGTGGGTACAAGTGTTGGCATCGCAGCCGGGGTCATCATATGTATATTAATTATTCTTGGACTCGTTTACCTAAGACTGTACGTGACACACGACAACGTTATTTAATACCGATTTATTGAAATTAAAGTATATTTTCCCGATGTGTAATGTTACCCTTCAGGAGAAAAGCTACGCCAGTGAAGAATACGGAAAACGTGCAGGCTGCCGAAAGAAAGGAAGATCAAAATGCCGCTGTAATGTCTTATGCGACGCTTAACGATGGAACACCGAACGCTATGTACGAAAACGTTCCGGAAGACGGTCTGTATGACAGTCCGTACAGCATAAGTGGCAGTACCTACGGGTAAGTTGACAAGTACTTCTTTGAACTGGCAGGACACTGAGGTTAAAACGTGATTTATGTCGTTGAAGGTATGGCAACAACATGAGAAGACATTACGGAAGATCCGGACATTACGAAGCGGAACCAGTCTCGAACAGAAACGGCATCACCATTAACGGAGTGTCTGTTCGATAGATTGTAACCGAAATATTAGAATCGTCTCTTAAATCAGGTATTATTTATGTACAGGATAGAAGAGTTAGGAGGATACCGACACGCGAAACATTGTTGTCTTTATTTATGTTATTATATTCGGCGCATCGCCGATTTATTGTAAATAAGTAAAGAGGAGGAACGCGTTTATTAAGACTTCCCGCGAAATTCACGTTAAGATTTTCCACGCCGATGACGAAACGCGCGTTGCATTTAACGATGCTCGATGATTTGATGATACACCTCGATTCGTATGCTCTCGAAAATTTTTCGATATTTCAATTCATGTATCATTATGTATATAGAGTGTTTCTGTAATTTAGAATTATTATTTGTACATCTCAAGTGACGTATTTGTAACATAAACTTGAATGTTCGTTGGTTACGCAAATAAAGAAACCAATGCTCTTGTTTTATTTTATACAGCGCTGTGTATTCTTAAGATATCCAGAATAACATTTTACTTTTAAAAATTTAATAAAGAGTGTATTTCGCTGCGAACACACCACTAAAGAACACCGTGAACGTGATTACGAAACTCGCGCAAACTATATCGGGCCCTCGCACAGCCTTATAAGGCAATGATTTCGCTGTCAGTAACTTACTCCAACTATGGTTCCTCCAATGCCGTGTCTTCGAGGGTGCACCACTGCTTCTTCAAAAATACGTTCTGTGTATCGACTTGAAAATTGGTTTCCACTGACATTTTATTACAATCCAATATCAAGCGAAAAATTAATCGCGGTACTAAAAATTATTTTCTCTCAATCATAACAATATGAATTATTATTTATCCAGGATATCAGAAAAGAGCAGTCCTGTAATGATATGTAAATGGGAAGTATCGACCAACGTTTCTAAATCTCTATTTTCTGTGGCCGCCTTTCAAAAGTTAAACGAATCAAGATCATCGTATTTACATTCTAACGTAAACATTAAAAATTGTTAGTCTCTATAAAAATTGAAAGATATACGACTGGCTGTTACATATTACTTCTTTTAGATTCTTAAGTGTTGCATATATTATCGTGTACATAAAATTGTTTACCGACCTGCAAACAAAAATTTATCGACTTGGAAATAAATCGATTGACCCCATAAGGAGGTTTCCAAACTATCCGGCTGAGAACCACTGTGACAAATGATCTTTTCTCAGAGGGCGCTACCTACCCGGGTGTGGTGAATAACCATACAGTGACGCGTAACGTGAGTCACAGTAGAGCACGAGTCTCTGTCCAGTTCTGTGTTTCGTGACATTTCACCGACTAGAAATTTATATTAAACAGGTTTGTAAAATTGCATTAATTTGCTTCGATATCTTCACGTGATACACCATAATTATTAACCTGTGCATACAGTATCAGCCTGGAAAATATGAAATATTTGACAGCAGTCGTCTTTCTGGAAGGGCGGCCATTGTTTATTGTGTCCTCGATTAGATTCTTTTAATATTACTCTTTAGCGTTTTAGATATACATATATATTTCCATGTGTTTTTTAGTAGAAAATCGATCAGTATAGCGATTTACAGTTTTTTGTGACAGAGATTGAACGTATCTCTGGAAGGAATTCTCCATAGTCAAATATAGCCTGTACCGATATAGCTCAGCGAAAGTTTTCGGACAAAGAGCGATGTATAATGTAAAATTAGAATATGAACATTTACAATTATTTAGAATGTAATTGCCTGGAGTCATAGTTTCCTCGGACGAGTAATAAGAATAGCACAAAATTGTATACCATCCATAACAGACAAGTTATCGTATATGTTAAAAAGTGTACGATTCGTGATGGTCTGCTTAAGTATTTGTTTTAGTAACGAAGGTGGAGATTCAGATTTAGTCAAACAAACTCATGAGCAAGCATTTTTTGAAGGCTTCGTTGAATGGTAGAGTGTAACGTCCTCTTTATTGAGGGGCCATCTAGACGGTCTTATTTTTATCCTGATATCGTTCCGTTGCCATTTCCCGAATTAATTGTCTAAAAATAGTTATTCGATAATAATGACCGTGGTAATTATACTTATATGATTATTAAACTACCCTAATTTTTTCCTTTCTTCCTATGTAGCCTTCTATTTTTTAAAACGTCGCTTTTTGAAATAGTAAAATTTCAAAGAAGTAAAGAAATCCTGAAACACAGTAAAAGATTATTCAAGAACGCTAAGAATTTTAAAAATTGGTCACACAAAGAAAGTAAGCTGAATTTTTATTTATATTTGCAGGACTACCAACATGTCTTCCCGCAAAACAGCCGGTCGTCGTGCAACGACAAAGAAGCGTGCACAGCGCGCGACGTCGAATGTTTTCGCAATGTTTGATCAAGCTCAAATTGCCGAGTTCAAAGAAGCTTTCAACATGATCGATCAGAACCACGACGGTTTCATTGATAAAGAAGATCTTCACGATATGCTTGCCTCTTTAGGTAAGGTACATTGACTTTCCTGTGGTTTGCTCCAAAAAATGACAAGAATTGTATCATTTATTTGTATATTATAAATAACAATATTTCTTAGGCAAAAATCCTACCGAAGATTATCTGGAAGGTATGATGAACGAAGCACCAGGACCAATAAATTTTACGATGTTCTTAACTTTGTTCGGCGAAAGACTTCAAGGCACGGATCCGGAAGAAGTAATTAAAAACGCGTTCGGTTGCTTCGACGAAGAGAACACCGGTCATATAAATGAGGAACGTCTTCGCGAATTGCTTACAACAATGGGAGACAGGTAAGTTTGTTGAAGAGCTAAAAGTCAATTGACACAAAATCTAGAGGTGCTTAATAGATGACTGACTTTCTCTTTGTTTTTAAGATTTACGGACGACGATGTGGATGAAATGTATCGCGAAGCTCCTATCAAAGGATCGATGTTCGATTACATCGAATTCACACGAATCTTAAAACATGGAGCTAAAGACAAAGACGAGCAGTGAGCAGGCGTGAAATCATCTGTACTTTGTATTTGTGTGATTGAGCGCGCAATGCGCGTTTATATGGTTGCATTTGTAAAGTTTGAAATATTACTTGTATTTTGTACATCCTCTATTAATGAGAATAACTAAAAATCTAGGTTTTACATTATTTTTGAAAAATCGCCTTATCTCTAGGTCCTAAAATGTGTAGACTCGATATCATATAAGCGTTTACCGTATTTATTTAAACATACAATGACTCGTACACAAGATACGTAATAGAAAGCTGGTAGAAAACTTTGATCCTATATCTTGCCACGAGTTACGGTCACTGTAATATGTAATATATTATATGCTACATCGATGTGTAGCTGTTGAAAAGTTGGCATTTATATTTTAATATAATATTGTACATCAAAAGCGTAGTGTCTTTATAACCAGTCTACACGACTTTTACACAATTTGAAAATAAAAGTTTACATTCGATATTGATTGAACGGGATTTATATTACAATATTACAAAGTTCAAAGATACATATACCTCTCGTGTCAAATTCTGACGAAATAATTAATAAACGCGTTTACATTATTTGAGCAGAAATAAACCTAGTTTTTTTTAAAACAAACAAAATCACAACATACACCATGCGACAATTAAATTACAGTACAGATATATTATCGACGCATGATTGGAAATAATATTTGCATCGACTTATAGAGTAATTCGTTATTTCAAACAGACGTTAATCGTTTGCAAAATTATTTCTCGAAACAAGGTAATACGACTGCATGTAAGACAATAAATTATCGTGCAGTATGAAAAAAAGAGTTCAAAATACATATTTGAAAAAGTGGCCTGGTCCAACCGAGTGCTACAATCGTTCTGCGCCTGCGCGTCGGCGTTTATGTACAGTATACACGGAATAAAATCCCACGAAGCCGCAGTATCATTTCTACTGGTGACAGAGTGGGGTCGGGATCGTCTGTTCGTTTCCTCGGTTCTGCCGCTCGCGGTGGCTTTCCCTGTCGCCGCGTCCTTTCGCTCGGTGGTTGTTTCGTTCCAGTAAGCAGAACGGCAGAGAATCAATCCGCCCCGGATACGCGGAGTTTGCAGTGCATCCAGGAGCATCGGCTTCTCGCCGATCTCCTCGCGAATGGGATTAGAATCGACGGTCGTTCGATGATCCGTTACGAGTCTTCGATTTCCAGTGTGTTTACCAGTTCGGTGGATGTCACCACAGTGAGACACTGTGTCCCGTGTGGCCAGATCGTTTGTTCGCATCAGTGATTATTTCTCGAGCAACGAAAACGACGAGAGAATGAGACGTGGAACAGAGGTAGAGGCAGAAGCTGCCAGCCGCGAATTGGGTTACGTCCCGTTCGCCTGGCAACGATATATGACGCAACAGCCACCCTTCGCAAGCACCAGCGATCCTCGTAATCTTTGCGTGTCGTTTTAATTGGCGACAGGACACTCTCATCTCATCTGATCAAACGTGTCGCCGCGTAAGCCTAGAGATAGACACGCAAAACGAAAACGTCGGAGGTGTCTTGTGCATGCGACCTATCCCCGCCCCGTCGCGCTCGCGTCCACTTGATTGCGCAGCTAGTTTTGGAGGTTAGCCGATCACGATTGAGAAACTTGAACGAAAGTGACACCCACCGAGCGAGCCAGCCGGATCAGCTGTTCCCCAGGACGACCTTTTAACAACTATCTCCGGTGAGTTTTTACTCTTTTAAACAACTCGTTACTAATTTTCCCACAAATTGCTTTTGCTTACGTTCGCGAGTTGGGGGGCCCCCTTCGACATTTCGAATCGATTGCGCGCGATTGCTTCAACGTTTCATTTGTTCGCAACCAATTTCCTCGAGTACGTACTACTGTCAAACTGCGACATGCATGTTTAATCAGTGTCGTGAACTTGTTTAGTCGAACTTCTCAATTTATTTATTTCGTTCAGGTTCAGTTTATACTGGTTCGTAAGAAATATAATATACGAAATAAAACATAAAAGAAAATCTAGGATAAACGTTCGGGAAAGTAATGAACCAACGATAGATTCATTACTGTACACTCGAACCGCTAGATTGAACAAAAAATTGACAAAGCTATCGTACTTATTCACTGGCTGACAAATTTCAATGCGTCCGGGTATACCAGGGCTAATATTCTGCGTGGTTAAATGGAAAAGTAAATGATATCTAAAAGTCTTCTTGGTCGAACAAGAGCTCCGCGAGAATTGTAAATTACTTTGGCCGTTAAAACGAGAATGAATTTCAATGTTGAGCTATAAAGCGGAGGCAATATACGACCATCGGCGGTGAACGAGTAAACCGTACCCGTGGCACGTGACTATGGATGAGAGACCGTTGTCAAAAGAGTAATGACGATGTGTCTTCGCGCGGCTCGTTCTAAAAGGAGTCCTTTATTCTGTCGGGATTCTTCAGATGGTATAATTACTAAAGGACGATACGCTGAACAGCCCTCGTTCATACCCCAAGGCGTCTGAAAAACGGACTCTTAACTCGCCGCATAAAAAGTACCGAGTCCACGAAAAAAGATATTCGCGGCGTCTTTATTGAATCGGTGCGCAAAAAGGTAACACCGTGTACCGTCTGTCGTCGTCGCGTATACTCCGTGCGTAATACGATCCAATCCTCGAACCGGTCATGTTACTTTGATATTGCATAACGCAACCGCGGAACAATATGTCAAATACAACCAAACTGTGCACGAATTTAAAACTATTTCACTGCTATCGTCAACACGACCCGTTCCACCCGTGCGAATGCATTTTTTGTTTTTTTTTTTCTATAATTCACGAGCAAAAAGTCTCCGTGGAATCGATTCTCGACAAAGGTCGCGACGCACTCCGCTCGGCCCCTCCGCTTAATGGAGAAATTACGCGCAATTTATTCGTCGCGGGAAGTTTCGTGACAACTCGGATCTCACCCTGGGTGATATTTGAAATTGCAAAATGCTTGTTTTTTTTATTTAACGTGTAACGATGGCGGACGGAGCTCGTTTAACAGGAAGTCTGGCCTGGTCCGGTATAAAGTTACTCGCAAAATTCAGTCGTGGGAATTCTTTCTCTTTTTTTTTTTTTAATTGTTACACCTGCAAACCAGTTTTCGGTGGTGGCAATCAACGGCGGGGGATGTGGTGGACGGTATTCAGTAGGTTAGTTGTATCCCGAGTCAGGGACGTCTCTAATACCGCGGCCATGCTTTCAAACAGGTTGTGCTCCAGATACTACCGGGGTAATACGTTAAATCTGTTACGCGATTTCGTGTTCTGTGTCGGCTCGAGTCCCTCGTTTCTTCGCGTGTCACGATGTTTCGAGGTGGCCGGCTAATGCGGATAACATCTGCCCGGTAATAGTTTTATAAAATTATCACCGTCTTGCGTAACGTGTAGCTGGAAGGCTCGATCAACCACAATCAAAACTTTTCTGGCCGTGTTTTATAGGTTAGGTTTTTTTTTTTTTTAAGATTTCATTCTCGAGAAAGGGAAGGTCACGACCATTGCGATACTTCTTTGTCTACTATGAGCTGCCATGGAAATCGATAATGAAAATTATCTTATCGCAGACCGTAAACAAAAGCAATGAGTCATAACTTGAGGAAGTAAGCGTTGAAGTAAGTAAATATGAATACAGTATTATGCATTTGGGAGAACTTTAGTGCTGTTCCTACGATGCACGTTCTCGTAAACTCAAACATTATTGGTTGGATCTAAAAATGTCTAGGGTCGTCCGTTATATTCGTTATACTTCGCGAAATATTTACAAATATGGTTTCTGTTTTCGAGAAAAATGACTTTTTAAATTGTATTGGGTGCAGGTATTTTTCAATAAGGCGTGGCGAATATGTCCGTTCGGTAACTTATTTCTATTTATTATAAACTCGACCGAACACACATATCGGATAAATTTATTCTACAGTTTCGACCTGCTTGTTCATGCGCAATTGCACCCTTTTCGGTCCCGCCACCAATAACAGACCACCTTGAATATTTGAACGAAATTGGATGCCTGCGGTGGACAGACCGCAGTTTCGTACCAACCTCCGTCTCTTAAATCATTTCCATAAAAGTTTAACCGCGTGTTTCGAACCACGATTCTATCGCGAAATAAAACTCCGCTGCGTGCGTGCCACGTAGACTATAAGGAAGTTAGACACGACCCCGAAGTTCCGAATGCTGTAGTGTGCAAATCCCCAGTCTGTGACATCGAGTTGTATTATCAACATCACTTCCGTGCGTCCAAATTTTCAAGGCTTTGGGTGGGTGAGTGTCTCATCGTTGTTGAAAGCCTTATACGTTGATACGGTCATGCTTCCCAACAATATCGATAAAACGTTTATCGCGAGTTGCCATAAAACTGTTCGAACCCTTAAAGAGTTTTGGAAGACATTCTCGTACGTCTACATTTACTTGGATAAAAAATGGTTAGGTTATTGTAGATCAAAGGTTCTAAAATTTTGTATACATGTTTGAATACAAATAATTTAAAAATAAAAATAATCAACTGGTTGTCTTGTGAACTAGAATTATTTCAATATTCAAAGTTCTTCTTCTGTACTGTTCTAATTCACACGATAACCACTTTTTTTTCAGATGAATACAATTTAAATAGTGGCAGCCACGAAAACTGATATACTGCGAGAATCATTTTAAGTAACAATAAAGACAATTCCATAAAAAATTACACTCTGTTATCTTGAAGTATACCAAACAAGTATACAAAATTGTAAAACCCTTAACAATAACCTAACCATTTTTCATCTCATAAGTCGTCTAAAATTGACGGCTCTGAATGGGAATATCCCCTCAAGGGAGATTTCACTCGCTCTATAAGAGTAGTCCGACTGGTGTCGCGTGCTGATCGGGCGAGTAGAATTACAGAGCAGCAACAAGAGTGTACAATGTACATACGTACAGGAATCGTGGTGGATTACACGCGAATAAACCACGAGAACCGCTCGTAGAACGAACATCCTCGTCGTTTCGAATCCGATCCGACTCGCTCGATCTCGCCACTAAATAAGTCTTCGATCGACGATCCTTATCGTTGCTCGTATCTGCGGCGATCGTTTCGTTGGAACGCGCAATTATGTTATCCACGAAGGCGTACTTATACGGATCACCACCGATCTCGTGTATTAACTCGTGCGTACCGAGGAAACGCCAGCCTATCGTGATCGGTGGGAGCGTTGAAATTATTCCGCGAACGCGATGCCACGCTTAATGATCGTTCCGCCGAGTTTAGGTCAGTCGTTTTCACGTCGCGACCGCCGGCTCTGGCGGAAATTCGCGTTAACATCGCCCGGAAATTGCCTCGGGCGTTAAGCATCTCGTGTCATTCAGGAATTTACGACTCGAATATACCGATATTTTTTTCTTTTTCGGGGTGTCGATAAAATTAAAAACGTAGGGATATCAAAAAACTGGTGGAATGAGGCGGCCATTTTGTTTCACGAAGTCACTATCCGAAGACGACGAATTTTCGGAGTAAAGCGAAGTCTTTATTGTATTTTTTTTTTTTCTGTTTAATTGCGCTGGTTTTTGAAAAATTGTTTTTTTAAATAATGGAGAATATAAATATCGAGATACGTATAAAGATTGAATTTTTAACGAAACTTGGTTGGAAAAGGAGTGACCAGCTCACGATCCAGCCACTTCAGACTTTGTCCTTTTTTCTAAATTGAGAAATAATCATCGAGGGTAATTCACTGGCAATGTTAGGAGAGATGGAAACATAGAATGGAAAAATGTATTCATAATGAAAGATCATACGCGGAGAAAGAAATTTTCTCTGATTCATAATTTGTCTTACGTTAAAACTTTTTAATATCCCCACATATTCTACTTCGCTTCTCCAGATCCTGTCCCATTACTCGACCACGGGGCGAGATGCTAATTACGCGGCTTCATCGATTACCGCGATAACACGAGAACAGATTCGCGTAGGTACTGCACTCGCCGAAGTCAATTGACATTTTTTCAAGGGCAGTCAACATTCCCGGCGTATTTGCCGTACCTGGCATTTCTCGACCGCGCTCGGAGCGAAGAAATGTCGTGATTTTTATTGCGCGGGGTCTGGCTGTTCGTGCACGTCCCGCCTCGAGCAAGCACCGTGAAAAATACGAGGAAACATAAAAAGAAATCTTACTCGTAACATTATTCTTTGCGCGATCCGATATTATCGTACGAAACTTTTCTATTACGATCGTATCAAGGTCATCGTATAGGAGAAGGTTCGGCCATTAGGTTGGACATGTAATGACATATTGATACTAGAAACATAAAAAAAGAAAGATCCATTTCCCCAGGCCATGGGGTCGGAAAAACGATTACGGCCTGTCCCAATTATGTTACCATATTTAATTTATTATATAAGCAACATATATTGTCTACCATACGGCGTAAATTGCAAACAAATAACAAGTCGCATTAGTGATCCAACCTAGAAGATGGTTCAAATTCGGCAACCTTCCCCTACTTTTGCTCCGGAAATCGTTAGACCTTTTGTTACGACACTAGATTCTCGGTTTATCCGTGTCAGTACCACATGGGTATGGTACACAGGTTAGCACGGCACGATAAACAATTTCCCTCGAAACGGTCGTGCACGAGCTAAATCGGTCCGGTATGCGGAGTCCGCGAGAACCGCGGCCTGTACAGCATCTTTCTCCAAAGCCCCTGGGTTGGAACCGAGG